CCACTGGATATGACTGGAAACAGGAAGTCATTCACTCACTGGCTGCATTTCGACAGGCAGCCCAATCTAATATTTTTTTGACCAATCAGATCAGTTCTGAAAAAGATCTGATGTGAAAAGATCTGATGTGATTTGTCAAAAGACCAATTCGGGGAAATAAAATTCAGAATTGGGCTGATGTGATATGATTGTCACTATGGTGGAATGGAATGTATTGTATTGTATTGTATATTTGTATTGTATTGTTTTGTATTGTATAATATTTTTGCATTTATTAAGTATCCCAAATAGTTCCTGCCAAGGAAGCAGTTACTCTTCCTGGGGTCCAGCAACATTAAGGCAGTTATATGCAATTTAAAATATTAAATGATATTAAATTTCATAACACAATGGAACATTAGAAACACAATTGTCATCTCAAATGACCAAATCTATAAGGATTTCCCATCCATGCGTCCAGCAATGACATAAGAAACCCCCACCTTGTGCATAGATCGGCCAATTTAGTGGGTCAATGAATGGCATTCCACTTACTCCCCGTCCTCCCATCCTCTTGGCCATGAACTTCATTGTAGGATGTAGTGAAGAACTCCCCCACTTCATTGTAGGATGTAGTGCAGAAGACCTCCCCCACTTCATTGTAGGATGTAGTGCAGAAGACCTCCCCCACTTCATTGTAGGATGTAGTGCAGAAGACCCCCCCCCCCCCTTCATTGTAGGATGTAGTGCAGAAGACCCCCCCCGTCATTGTAGGATGTAGTGTAGAAGACCTCCCCCTTCATTGTAGGATGTAGTGCAGAAGACCTCCCCCCTTCATTGTAGGATGTAGTGCAGAAGACCTCCCCCCTTCATTGTAGGATGTAGTGCAGAAGACCTCCCCATTCATTGTAGGATGTAGTGCAGAAGACCTCCCCCCTTCATTGTAGGATGTAGTGCAGAAGACCTCCCCATTCATTGTAGGATGTAGTGCAGAAGACCCCCCCCTTCATTGTAGGATGTAGTGCAGAAGACCTCCCCCCTTCATTGTAGGATGTAGTGCAGAAGACCCCCCCCCCCCCCCCTCATTGTAGGATGTAGTGCAGAAGACCCCCCCCCCCCCAACCCCCCGTCATTGTAGGATGTAGTGAAGAAGACCTCCCCCCTTCATTGTAGGATGTAGTGCAGAAGACCTTCCCCTTCATTGAAAGATATAGTGCAGAAGACCTCCCCCTTCATTGTAGGATGTAGTGCAGAGGACCTCCCCCCTTCAATGTAGGTTGTAGTGCAGAAGACCTCCCCCTTCATTGTAGGTTGTAGTGCAGAAGACCTCCCCCCTTCATTGTAGGATGTAGTGCAGAAGACCTCCCCCCTTCATTGTAGGATGTAGTGCAGAAGACCCCCCCCCCCCCCTTCATTGTAGGATGTAGTGCAGAAGACCCCCCCGTCATTGTAGGATGTAGTGTAGAAGACCTCCCCCTTCATTGTAGGATGTAGTGCAGAAGACCTCCCCCCTTCATTGTAGGATGTAGTGAAGAAGACCTCCCCCCTTCATTGTAGGATGTAGTGCAGAAGACCTTCCCCTTCATTGAAAGATATAGTGCAGAAGACCTCCCCCTTCATTGTAGGATGTAGTGCAGAGGACCTCCCCCCTTCATTGTAGGTTGTAGTGCAGAAGACCTCCCCCTTCATTGTAGGTTGTAGTGCAGAAGACCTCCCCCCTTCATTGTAGGATGTAGTGCAGAAGACCTCCCCCCTTCATTGTAGGATGTAGTGCAGAAGACCGGCATTGTGACTAATGGCGCCGAAGGAGATGCCTGCCGTTTTACGGGCTCCTAACCAATTGTGTTATTGTGTGTGTTTTTTCGCGTTATTTGTAACTTATTTTGTACATAATGTTTCTGCCACCGTCTCTTATGACCGAAATGAGCTTCAGGATATCAGGACAGCGATTACTCACCTCGTACTGGACGAAGATTTTTTCTTTAACGAGTCAGACGCGAAGGATTTTCTTCAGACACCTGACAAGGCCCAAATTCCCATCATTCTCATGAGAAAGAGACAGAGATATCGGGGACGTGGGTCGGGGTGCTTTGTAAGGATCCGACGGTGAGTGTGTAATCTGCCTCTACCATCAGTCCTATTAGCCAACGTACAATCATTGGATAACAAAATAGACAAACTAAGATCACGGATTAAAAACTGTAATATCTTATGTTTCACGAGTCGTGGCTGAACGACGACATGGATAACATACAGCTGGCGGGATATACGCTGCATCGCCAAGATAGAACAGCTGCCTCCGGTAAGACGAGGGGTGGCGGTCTGTGTATATTTGTAAACAACAGCTGGTGCACGAAATCTAATATTAAGGAAGTCTCGAGGTTTTGCTCGCCTGAGGTAGAGTATCTCATGATAAGCTGTAGACCACAGTATTTACCAAGATAGTTTTCATTTCGGATTAAGGGCAGAATTGATTAAATCTAGCACTAATTTAGCAATCTATACTGAACAGAGAAATATAAACACAACATGCAACGATTTCTAAGATTTTTCTGAGTTACAGTTCATATAAGGAAATCAGTCAATTGAAATAAATAAATTAGGCCCTAATCTATGGATTTCACATGACTGGGCAGGTGCGCAGCCATGGGTGGGCCTGGGGGTGCTGTTGGAGAGACGCATCTCTGCAGTGCTCCACCAATGTTCCGTCAAAGAAATTATCTAACATAAATAATGTAGCAGATATAGGATATGGTAGAAAGAATATGTGGCATTTTCTGTAGTTTACAGGCTGGAGATAAAATGTATGACAACGTAATGAGACAGACACTTTTTACATCATGCAGGTTTCTCAGATTAAATAGCCTAACCTAAATGGCACTCAATCAAAGAAAAAATTTGCTGTCATGTTAACAAACAACATATCCTAAAAACAGGACAGGTCAAAGTAAAATTGACATTATAAACTGGGTTGTTCGAGCCCTGAATGCTGATTGGCTGACAGCCATGGTATATCAGACTGTATATCACAGGTATGACAAAACATTTATTTTTACTGCCCTAATTACGTTGGTACCCAGTTTATAATAGCAATAAGGCACCTCGGGGGTTTGTGGTATATGGCCAATATACCACGACTAAGGGCTGTATCCTAAGAACAGCCCTTAGCCGTGGTTTATTGGCCATATACCACACCCCCTCGAGCATTATTGCTTAAATATAGAATGGACAATCCAGGAGTTTCACCCGATTGTCATGATCAGGGGTTTCAAGTTTGTATCTGTCAATTTTTGACAAGCTGATCATAGCGAAAAATTAAATACTTCAGCATTTCCCACTGTGTAAACACATTGGAAATAGGCTCGGATAACTCCTGATAAAGTTGGGTGGCTGATATTCAGAACTTAAATAGCTAAATTGATTAGTCACAGGAATTAGGACTTATAAAGCCAATGCAATGGCCTGTTTTACAAACAGTGGGCCTACCACGTTTGGGCATTCATACAATTCCATTTCAGGCAACACTGTAGGCTACACCTCAGTAAGCACGGATCGACACCGACGTCTTTTTTTGGTGCAGTTCCGGACTTGATTTCCTCATACATGGACATTGGTTTTTGGTCCGGTCCGGACCAAATCTGAACCAATCATAGACGTCTATGTTTGGTTAAGTTTTTGTCCGGTCTGGACCAGCCTTGATTTGACCCAAACATAGACATCTATAAATTACTTATTTTTAACCAAAGATTTTCCTGATTTCAACATCCGGAAAATACATATTTTCAATGTCTGTAAAATACGTATTCTTAACATACGGAAAATGTTTCACCTTTCATTCAGAACCTAAATTAAACATAACTTCAACGTCTGGAAAAGACGTTACCAGTATTTTTTGTTCTCGCCCATGGCGGCAGAATGGCAAGGACCAGGCCTGCCAATCAGAATTAGTTTTTCCCCACGAAAGGGCTTTATTACGGACAGAAAACACATTTCTGTTCAGTATAAAAACTTTTAGCTGACATGGGCTAATTGAGTGACTGTCAGTGACTGACATTACAGAACAACTGCTGATGCATAACCAAATTTCACCTGGTCAATTCTACTATTCTAACTCTCAACAAGAAGTTGAGTCCCGAATGGATCCGCGGGCCTACAGTTCAGTTGCCCATCCCTGGTCAGTTGTTCTCAGAAAAAGATTGGTAATACTTTTTTCCCTAACTGTGAACAGTAGTACTGTAATGGTATACCAAATGGTTAAGGGGAATCTGCCTATGTCCATTTTTTTATCCCAAGCACATCTAGCTTCTACTCCATCCATCTGCGCAAGTAGATGACAGCAATAGTAAAGCTCCACTTCAACTATTCTGAGGCCTGGAACCGTTGCTTACCTGAACCCTTAGGCCGGGATTCAATCTGATCACGCTTTGTTGGCTATGCAATGTTCCCGTGTTAGCGGACTGCATTCACAGTGAATGTTGCATGTCGCTCAATCTAAAAGTACCTTTAAATGGTACATAGAGATCAAAGAGTGATTGGATTTAATCCTGGCCTAACTCTCTCTAGTTATACCTCAATAAGTGCCAAATGGTTCTGTTTGGGAGAGAGAAGTCATTTTGGTGGAACTTTCTGTAAACCACCTGTTAATAATGCATTATCATTGGACCTATACGGTGGCTTTATAGTCACGTCTCGCTTGTCTCGATTCTTTCAAATTTAAAACAGCGGAAATATGCTTTATAAAACATGCTATAATAATCCATGTTGCTGTTCTCTATAGGGTAATGTCAGACCGGACAATAATTACAGGACAATAAATGGCAGTGCATCAGTGAGGTTTATTAGTGTAACTATACGGACAACGTATCGCATACACCACAAAGATAACTGGCAAAACTCATGATCGTACAATATAAAAAAAGAAATGTTTTAAAATGAACAAAACACATAAAAAAAAAAAAAAAAAGGAATCTATTGGTTATAGCGATGAAAATCGCTGTCTTGATGGCTTGTGTCAATCCTTTGTGTGTGTGTGTGTGTGTGGTTCTTGCGAAAACAGGACGTGTCCCGACACTAGTGGAATTGTCCTCGGAGCAACCCACTGAACGCATGTCTATTCCCATGTAGGGCTGGATACCAATCCAATAATTTGCTTCCTGTCTTTGTTGACTGAAATGACCGGACAGGTTTTGTGAAAGAGCAATAGCTCCATCTAGCCGTCACGTAGCCAAAGCGTAGCCTAGTTCCTCACAAATCCTTTCCACCCTAGAAAACCTTTCAGATCTTCGAAGACAAGTTGGAGTAAGAAGAAGCAAATTAGTTATTGAATTGAAATCCCACCCAATAACAACGCAGTACTATCTCAACGCTTTATCAAATGTCCGAGGCAGAGGATAGACTAATGTGATAGAACATGAACAGGAGAACAATACTGATTGAAGAAACATCCACATTTCCCTCGTGTTGCCCCCGCAATAGCCTCCACTTGGAGAGAATGCTACAGTTCCCTAAAATCAGTCTTACGCCAACTGGGGCTGGCCACTTTCTGCCTTGCAACAGTCTGCCACTCGCCCTCCTCCAACTCTGTCGTCCAATCAAAACACCCGGTCAAACTCAGTCTGACTCGTTGTGGCCGGGTTCCTGTTCTGATTGGCCGGCTGCTGGGGCATGTGACCTCTCCGGCGGGGCGGGGCCAGGTACTCAAACATGGACGTGTTGTGCGTGGAGAGCATGTTCTTCAGGTCCGAGGGCATGGGGTCCGACCAGAAGAAGTCGTGGTTCAAAGCGTCGTCACTGTCCGTCCTCTGCGCCGGGTCTAAGACTAGGAGCTTGTCAATCAGGTCCAGGGCGTATGGGTCCTTGACGTAGGCCTTAAGGCGGTCCTTCACCTTCCTCTTCTGGCCCTTAGGGAGCTCCATCTTCTGGTAAAGCTCGTACTTCTTGTCCACGCCTGGCCATACCTGATGGGGGAAGAGTCCAGGTTAGGAATTGAATGGTGAATGAGAATTTGTTTGTGTTAAACTGGTGGTTACACAGAGGTGTGTCTATTCTTTTCGTTGGACATAAGAATGTAAAATCACAAAGAAATCAGCTCCAAGTTATTTTTATTTAGGAAATCTGTTCAGGTATTCCCACGCATAAATAGAGGAACATATCCCAATGTAATCAAGGTTGGAAATGATTCTGTTTTTGTCAAATACTATCCGTTTGGGATTCTTGAGCTCAATTTGCAGTATACAAATTATTTATAATGTTCCGGCCACCCCGACCATCCGCTCAAGGAAAAACTGGCCCATGGCTGAATGTAATTGGGGACCCTGATATGGTTTGTGTGTGTGCATGCATCCGTGTGTGTGTTTGAGTGTGGTTTGTGTGCATACCTCTGCCGTGATAGAGCCACACAGCTGACTGATGAGTGTGAGCTGGTGCTGCTCTGTGTTGCCTTGCATGATGGGACTGCGTGTCCACATCTCCGCCATGATGCAGCCCGCACCCCACAGGTCAATGGGAGGCCCGTAATCTCTCTCACCTGACAAAACAATGTAGCTCTCGGTTTACATGCCATTAAATTACACATATTGCTACAAGCAAGCTCGGCATCTCAATATCTTGTAACTGTATAAATAGCCTGGGATTTTATGTATTTATATAGAGTCCGTTACATACAGCTTTTATAGAAATGCCATCTTCGGAAAAAATAACATTTGCCCAAACCTCTCCTCGACTACCCCCACTTACTTCCAGAAGTAGCAAAGCTGATTCAAATGGTCACCTAATTATCAAGCCCTTCATTAGTTAAATCAGCTGTGTTAGTACTCGAATATGTCACACAAGTGGACTGGCTGGGGGTACTGGAGGAGAGGTTTGGGAAACTGGAGGAGAGGTCTAGGGATTTCAGTAGCCTATCCCTGGGCATGAACCCTGCACTATGCTCCAGCCAGATGGGTTCCTTACCTAGCAGCAGCTCTGGGGGCCTGTACCAGAGTGTGACCACACGGTTGGTGTAGCGGTTGCCCTGGCTGTTCTTGGCCAGGCTGAAGGCTCGCGCCAGCCCAAAGTCAGCCAGCTTCAGCACGCCGTCTCGGGTGATGAGCACGTTAGCCGCCTTCATGTCTCTGTGTAAGATCTAAGAGGAGGAAGGTGGCCAGCGAGAGGCACAACGTTACACGGCTGAATTCAACATGCAGTGCATTTGACCCGTAATGATGATACAGATGTTGTAGTACAATAGGAATTAAATGAAGTCTATAAAAACTTGATCATTTACCCTTTTCACACTATGGTGTCGACCCAAACCCTACTGTGCTGGCTCTGATCATTCGGTTCTTTCCCTTTCTAGGTTACAGTGACTATGGATGGGAGTCTGTCATAAATGGACAGTAGCCTCACCTTGTTTCTGTGGATATAGTAGAGTCCATTCAGCAGCATCTGCATCACCTTCTTGATCTCGGCCAGGGTGAATTTCACATTGGCGTTGCTTAGCAACCCTGCCAGGTCGTGCTCACAGAAGTCAAACACCAGGTAGATGCTTCCTTTGTAGCGGTTAAACTGGGTGGCTGTGTGTTGACGAGAAGAGTAATTATACAGACACAATATATCGTATTCACACACGCAACCACTGCTCCACACACTAGTCTGGATTGGTAATCCAATACTCCGTAACTGCCTAGTGACTTCACAAAGAAACAATATGGAAGGCCCCGTGCAAGCTGTAGGTTGCTACTGGGAATGCACACCAAGGCCCATATTTGACAGTGAAATTTTTTAAAAAGGCATCTACGCAAGTAGCATGACCGACACTCACCTTTGGTTCGACAGATCTCTATGAGGTTGACAACATTCTCGTGTTTCAAGAGCTGCAGAATCTTGATCTCTCTCAAAGCAGTGATGGGGAACTGTGACAAAGAAGATGACTATTAGCATCCATGTATGTTTATAGTGTGCCATTGTCTACTGCCATGTATGTTTAGTGTGCCATTGTCAACCACTAGCCTACCCAATAAAAAGTATACATTTACATTTTAGTAATTTAGCAGACGCCCTTATCCAGAGCGACTTACAGTTAGTGAGTGCATACATTTTTCATACTGGCCCCCTGTGGGAATCGAACCCACAACCCTGGCGTTGCAAGCGCCATGCTCTACCAACTGAGCTACAGGAGGCCTGTAGGAGGCCTCTAACATCAAGCATCTCCTGTGTGTATAAAGTTGGAATGTTGATATTCATCTCATGCAGGGCATTTAGTTAGAGATGTGGCTTTGTTGTCCCTCTTACCCCTTCTTTCTCATTCTCCATCAACACTTTCTTCAGTGCTACCTTCTTCCCAGTCTGTCTGTGCTTGGCTTTGAACACCTCCCTGGAAAGGTAAAGTACGGTAAGATGAAAATGTAGAACGTATGACAATGACAAGAATATCAAATATGTTAGTGTTCTACTGACACTAGCTAGCTACCGTAGCTATGTTTATTCAGGGTATGAACTCAGAACTTGTCAGAACCTGACGTCACTATCAACACACAGGCGTGGATAAAACAGCACATGCAGGTGTCCACAAATGCATTTTAGATTGCATGCCAACTAACTGGATATATTGGGTGTCTTTCAAGATTGCAAGCTACTGTGGCTAGCTAGCCGTCGGGCTGAAGCGAACTTAACAACAGATCCTTAACGTTAGTCATGTTGCTGTCGGCACCTTTTAACTAAATAACTACTAGAAATCTTACCCAAAGGTCCCTTGGCCGATCTTGGCAAGTTTTTCATATTTAGAAAATTCATCACAGAAAGGGAATTCGACTCCGTCGTAGTATTTGGACATAATGGCGGCCTCCCGGTCAGGCCTGAGAAAAGTAAAGGGTCACGTTAGCGAAAGGTTTCGCCAGAATTACATAATTTAACTATAATATAAGTACACCAAATCATGCAGAATTAACTAATATATCTTCTAAACAACGTGAAATCACACAATGGATATTAGATATGAATATATTCATACTTTTCAGCCCCGGCGGCGTTTCCGGTTTTGTCTCGCTGCATCCCTGTTTGTTTCGACGGATCCGTGCGTGCCCAGTTCGAGATGGGAAATGTAGTCTTTGTGCTTTCACAAACTTTAACCAGAGAGAAAGAGAGGCCCAACTCGGCGGAAATCTGTCTCCCTCCAGCAGGTGGCTTTTTTTGTATTTTTTCGCACACCAAGCAAGGAGTTTTTCTATTGAGGCCAATGAGAGTCGAATTTGGTCAACAAAGGTTTATTTGATCGAATAGAAGTTTCATAATGCTTAAGTTGTTACAAGTGTACTGATATAAGTCAGACACGTGACAGCCCGGCAACTTTGAGAAAAAACACTTTATTGGAGTTGGCTATGCATATTCAAGACATGAGGCAAGTAGCATAGCATCTCTCTCCATTGAACACAGGCAGTTGAGGTTAACAACCCTCACTGAAAATTCAAAAAAGTATTACATTAATGAGATGTATCCACCAATCCAAAGAAACAATAGGCGGGAGCTAGACAGCCTGCTTGATGCTTTGTGGACAACTACTCCTAGAGCCCCACAGTGGAGGTGTCATAATACCCATAAAACCTGGCGGTCAAACAGGGAAATGGTTCCAATCGTTTTTCCACCATTCATTTTTCCCATTGGGGATTTTAGAAACACTTAAAATAAGGGCTGTGTTTCGTGTAGGGTAACATTGGCGTGAAATTTTGATAACCATGTAAATCTCTCTCAGACAACGTGATTTTTATCAATATATTCGCCTGTATTTACACTGATTCAAAATTGCTAATTAGCATCAAAGTAGATGTAGCGTCCCTGGGTGGGCACCCTCGTCGCCATTAATGTAGTGTCGAGAAAACGATGCGGAGATGCTGTGATGACAATGAATCCACTGACACTGTCCTCAATTATAATTATTTATTACATTGAAGATTTCAGCGCCAATTTACAGACTTCTGCAGACATCTGGAGAACAACCGGCCCAATCTCTTAATATGTTATTCTCCCCGTCCTTTGTCCCAACCAAGTATATATATCCTATGTAACCTGATATGGGTGTTTTCCCTACAGACCAATCCCAGGACTCCACATAAGACTTCCTCTGTTTTAGGGTGCCCCTATAAAAATGCTCTCCAGATGCTTCCTCAAGCTGAGTCAACATCCTCTAAAACACCATTTGCAACCGTCAGCAAAGTCATAAATTGTTTAGATACTACATAGACATCATGCAAAACTACAAATCCCTGCACGCCATCTCTAGTTGACACCTCTGATAACAGGCATTGTGTCAATTTAAAACTTACACAACAGTTCATAGAATTGTCCATTTAAAGAAATGTAGCCAATTTATGAATTACTACATTTAGCCAACATTAGATAGCTAATCCAGAGATTCTTACCTTTGCCTCGATTCTGCAGTCTTGTCCAGATCATTACATTTACGTCATTTAGCAGACGCTCTTATCCAGAGCGACTTACAAATTGGTGCATTCACCTTTTTTTATATAATATTTTTATTATTTATTTATGTCATTTTTTGTGTAATTTTTTTATTTATTGAATTTGTTTAATTATTATTATTATTATTTTATATATTTTGTGGGGGTGGGGTGGGGTGGGGGTTAGAATGATTACTTTTATACTATCCCAGGTATTCCTTAAAGAGGTAGGGTTTCAAGTGTCTCCGGAAGGTGGTCAGTGACTCCGCTGTCCTGGTGTCGTGAGGGAGCTTGTTCCACCATTGGGGTGCCAGAGCAGCGAACAGTTTTGACTGGGCTGAGCGGGAACTGTGCTTCCGCAGAGGTAGGGGGACTAGCAGGCCAGAGGTGGAAGAACGCAATGTCCTCGTTTGGGTGTAGGGACTGATCAGAGCCTGAAGGTAAGGAGGTGCCGTTCCCCTCACAGCTCCATAGGCAAGCACCATGGTCTTGTAGCAGATGCGAGCTTCAACTGGAAGCCAGTGGAGTGTGCGGAGGAGCGGGGTGACGTGAGAGAACTTGGGAAGGTTGAACACCAGACGGGCTGCAGCGTTCTGGATGAGTTATAGGGGTTTAATGGCACAGGCAGGGAGCCCAACCAACAGCAAGTTGCAGTAATCCAGACGGGAGATGACAAGTGCCTGGATTAGGACCTGTGCCGCTTCCTGTGTAAGGTAGGGTCGTACTCTGCGAATGTTGTAGAGCATGAACCTACAGGATCGGGTCACTGCTTTGATGTTAGCAGAGAACGACAGGGTGTTGTCCAGGGTCACGCCAAGGTTCTTTGCACTCTGGAAGGAGGACACAATGGAGTTGTCAACCGTGATGGCGAGATCATGGAGCGATGCGATGCAATGCGATCATCATGGCATTTGTAGTTCTTTTCGATAGCCACGTTAGCAACTAATTAGCATTTCATTTTTGGGGGGTAAATACAGGCGAATATATTGATAAAAGTCACGTTGTCCTAGAAAGATTTACATGATTATCAAAATGTCACACCACGGTAAGCCTACATGAAACACAGCCCTTATTTTATGTATTTCTAAAATCCCCTATGGGAAAAATTCATGGTGGAAAAACGATTGGAACCATTTCCCTGTTTGACTGCTAGGTTTTATAGGTATTATGACTCATACTGTGGCACTCTATTGTTAGTGTGGAGAGACATGTATCTTGTCAGTATATCCATAGTCTTTGCTGTGGTGCTGTAGTAGCTACAGTCAACGACAGTGTTGGAGAGCATCAAAACAACTGCCTACTGACTGATCTACAAATCACCTTGCATCATAAATAACAATTCATTATTATTTGTAGATCAAATAGTCAGTCACAATTTAGCCATGATACATTGCGGTTTTCATCCTCTCGAACACAGCCATTGTGTAGTAGTGTAGCCAGGGTGTATTCATTGTTTGTAACATAAACCGTTTACTCCATTGTTTACTATGTTGCAAGACATAATGAATACACCCCAGGGGTGTCTTGCAACGGAAACAGTTTAAGAATGAAACGGAAGCAAACAGCGCAAACGGAACGAAATGGGGACGGACCTACCTGGATTTGTCCAGTAGAAACTCTAATTTTCATTGCAAAACGTTTTCAGTTTGGAGTAAACGGTCTCTGTGGTAAAAACGTTTTGCAACAGATGAAACGTTTTGAAACAGAATCTGCGTAATGAATACATCCTGTGCTTCCGAGACTACTTGTTGCACTGCAGTGCACAGTCATGTATCGTAAAAATGTAGGCTACTATCAAAACTGTCTAACTGATTTCTCACAATACAAAAATACAATCATTCAAAGTCACGGTTCATACAAGAGAACACAGTAGGCTATGCAAAAGAGACAAATAGAGCTTTCAAAAAGTGCTGGTCGGTGTCTGATCCTTGCTTGATTTGAGTATGACTATTAAACAAACTTCCAACAACTCAAATGGCCTGATGGGACTATCACAGTTTACTCCCAATTTATTGACGTGCAATGTTGCAATGTGCAGTGTGACTGGAATCACTCATCAGTGACCCCAAACTGTTGAGATCTGTATAGCCTACTATTGTAATTTTATTGGATGCTTGTTTGTTTTGCTTTTCAAGCGCCTTGATGTTCTTTTTGTAATGAAAAGAACTGTACGTTGAATAAGACATTTTTATGAAGCAATAAGCCTATTATTACTTGACAGAATGGTTCTGTTTTTCATCTACTGTTTCAAACAGGCATTCCCACCCACAAAGGAAGGAAGAAGGGCAGTCAATCTATTCTAATTTGAGAATTAGAGTTCAGACATATAATTCTTGGACTAGTCCTGTTAATGCTTAGCAACTGATGTAACAAAAGGCCACATTTTATATTGATAACATTCAAACAATTCCAGATTAGGAATTGATGGATTAAAGAAAACTATCATCAACGAATTCTCACCAAATTCACACCAACTGCTCTCAACTCTGGACTAATGTGTTGTGAAGCCCACATCTTCAGTAATTTACTTTTTTTTTTTTTTTTTACATGTTCACAGGCCATGGGTCTAATGCTGGGAATTACAACATGGCGGAAGAAGAAGGTAAGCCTAAACCTTAGCCGCCCTTTAAAATACATTATGTGTAACTGGTCCAGACAAATCCATAGCTCTGGTCCAGGTCAGAGCTAAGGACCTGGGCCCAGATCACAAAACCTTAAGAAGAGTTTTCTTAACTTCCATTTTTTCTTTAACTATAGATTTGTGAAGAAAGTTAAGCAAACTAGATATTCAAGGTTCTTGGAGATTTTCTTACATTATTCCTTATGTTTCTCCTTAAGCAAAAACGTTAAGAAGAAATTCTTGCAAAGAAGTTCTTGCATTTCTACTTGGAAATGGGCCCTGGGCCCAGTTTCACAAAACACTTCTTACACAAAAACTTAACAAGCTTCTTAAGAAAAAAAAGTTCATAAGATTCCTTAAACAGTAAGTGCAATTCTTCAAACATTTCTTAAGAATTCATGCTTTTCTTCCAAACTTCTCAAATATCTTCTTACGAACTTCTTAACTGTCTTCTTAAGATGATTTTCGCTAGGCATCTGAGCTTTTTCCTTGCAAAAGTATTCATCCCCCTTGGCGTTTTTCCTATTTTGTTGCATTACAACCTGTAATTTAAATAGATTTTTTGGGGGGGATTTCATGTAATGGACATATGCAAAATAGTCCAAATTGGTGAAGTGAAATGAAAAAAATAACTTGTTTCAAAATAATTATAAAAAATAAATATTGGAAAAGTGGTGCGTGCATATGTATTCAGCCCCTTTGCTATGAAGCCCCTAAATAATATCTGGTGCAACCAATTAACTTCAGAAGTCACATAATTAATTAAATAAAGTCCACCTAAGTGTCACATGATCTGTCACATGATCACAGTATATATTATATATTGTATTGTGCATTGTATTATGTATTGTTATGCATGTTATTTGTTGGGTTTTGTTTCCTATTTGGACCCCAGGAAGAATAATAGAGCTAATTGGGGGTCCTAATAAAATACTAAATACCCAAACACCACTCTGTAGACTATACCTATTTTTCTTGCCATACTCTTACTGTTTGGACTCGCAGGCTTGGGTGCCAGCCGTAAGTACTTTTACAAATATGTTTTATTACATACGAATACCTTCATAACATTCAAACGTGTTTCTGAAGCAGTCTCAGTTCTGTTTTTTTTGTTTTTCATTGTGGTGCTCGGTGGCCCGTCAAACAACCTTGTCGAAGGGAACAAACTACAGAGGAATTTCACCAACCCGACCAATGAACAGAACCAATTGGATGAGCAAAAAGATAGTCAAAACATTGTTGACTGAGGCAAGAAACACTCTTCAGGCTCACCTTGAGTTCTTGATCGAAGGAAGGACAGAGTTGAGTAGTGTTAATGACAAACTTGAGCAAGACCTGACCAATTCAATGGACCAAACAAGGCTATTGACCAATGAGAGATCAGCTTCAGGATGACCTTGAGATGTTGACAGAGGAGAGAGTTCTATTGGTCAAGCTCATGGACAAGCTGAAGAGTCATAATTTTGTGGTCAAGTAATTATCAGACATGTCACGACCAAGAGCAGCTAAGCCAGGACATAACCACTAACACAACAAAACATTTAATTGGAAACTGAGAAAGATCAGCTACAAGTGAATCTCACCATGTCAACTGCAGAAAAAGGACATCCGCAACTTGACTGTTCATAACGCTGAGTTAAGGAAATTGTCCTTCTCCAGGGGCCGGATTCACACTTCATACACAAAAACGTAAGAAGCGTCTTAAGAAAAAAAATAAGAAGTTCATAAGATAGTTTGTAAGTGCAATTCCTCAACAATATCTTAAGATTAAATTATTTTCTCATGAACTTCTCAAATATCTTCTTACAAATCTTCTTAAGATGTTTGTTGCTAGGAAACCAATTTAGCTAGCTATCTAGCTAGCAATGGCAATCATGTTAGCATATTTCGTACTGAGATTACTGTTCTAAAACATGTTCTTGGGTTTAAAATAATCAATACTGAAACTTTCAGATGAAGTTTGTGAGTGAATTAAACATCAATTGCTTTCATGAGCTTTTTCTCTCACTGCCCTGAGTTTAAGACAAGGGTCTAGCTATCTTGGAATTAAGAAAATTTCCAATGACTTTATTTTCAAGACTAATTTCTTCTTAACTTTTTGCTTAAGGGAAAACATAAGAAATAGCTGAATCTGGGCCCAGGCCTCTACTCTGAAGCATCTTCCAAACTTGACTAAAGTGCTAGAAGAAGATAAGATCGAGATGCAAGCCTTTCAGAAACCAGTTACAAATATCTAAATCTCACTGTCCACGAGATTCCCCTTCATAACACTACAGTGGGGAAAAAAAGTATTTAGTCAGCCACCAATTGTGCAAGTTCTCCCACTTAAAAAGATGAGGCCTGTAATTTTCATCATAGGTACACGTCAACTATGACAGACAAAATGAGAAAAAAAACAACCAATGGTTGCGTTCCACGTTATTGACTGTGCAGATTGCTATAATGCTGCGTTCAAAACAACTGGGAACTCGGGAATCTCAGACTTCAGTGCGTTCAAGATAACTGGGAACTCTTGGGAAAAAACGAGCTCAGAATGGGAAAAATTGTTTCGAACGGTCATCCAACTCGGAATTCCAAGTTGGAAATGCAGGCATCTTTCTAGAGCTCCGACTTTCCGACGTGAAGATCACTGACGTCATTATTTTACCTAGTTATTTTCCAGTCGTCTTGAATGCATAACATCTGATGTGGTAAGCTGATACGTAAAATACCTATCCAGGCGTTGTAAGATCTGGCATGCGTCAGCAACTTCTGAGCAGGGGAACTCGACCCTAGACACATAGGAACTTGACCCTTATGAAGTGGTAGGGTGCTGCCCATGGTGCTGACAGAGGATAGAGGACCATGGTTGTAATCTAAACTGTCAGCATAGCTCAGTGAAGTAGGTTGGGGGTACTCTCACTCACTTTCTATTCAGGCCAGCTTTGATACTACTTTTAAAATGTTAACCTTTTGAAAAAATGTAAACAAAAAACGTGGAAGTCAATCAATCCGCCATCATTGACACAATGGAAAATCAAATGAGTTATTATTGAAATATTGAAATAGCATGGGCGACCGAGAAAAACCAATTTTTACAATTTAAGGCCAAGTGGCAAACAATAATGCAGGCAGTAGGGATGGGGTGTGAGCATGCTGGGACAGACGATGTAGTCATTGTTTGTGTGTGTCTAAGTTTTTTTTTGATTGTATAAGTTTGTTTTTGGAATGAATAAAAAAAATCTATATAATTATTTTAAAAAGTACCTTTTTGAGAGTACATATACCAGGCTTGAAAACTTGGAGGATTTTTACAAACAATTGTTTAATGTTAATCACCAGTATTAAGTACATAACCAGTGTTATTTACAGCATTCAGAACCCAGACAGACACACAAGTGCATTCAAAATTTAAATGTCTGTATTTATCAGTGTTGGGGAGTAGTGAACTACATGTAGTTCAACTAGTAATTTAACTACATTTTGCAGTAGCTTGGTGGTAGTTCAACTAAATTCAAATCTGGGTAGTGTTTGTATTTGCCATGATGTGGTGTAGATAACTACTGGAACTACACACTACTATTCTTTGCAATAAGAAAAGAAAATAGGCCTGCCTAATTCTCACTTCAAACATAGTTTTTGTGTTTAATACATTTGACATTCTGTTAACATCTGAGCCCAAAGTGATCTGTTCTTGCAATTTGTCATCTATGACATTTCAGATTTACATATAATTATTCACAAAGTAGTTTGGATGTAGTGAACTACTTTTTCAAAGTAATTTTAGTTAAGTAAACTATTGCTTTCTTAAGGGTAGCTTTAGTGTAGCTTACCTTCTTCCAGTGTGATGTAATTGGTAGCTTGGTAAACTCTATTTTCTGAGTAGCTTCCCAAAACACTGGAATTTACACAATAAGAGTGTAAAAAAAAAAAGGAAATCCCAGAAGGCAAGGCAGGTACAAAGTTCCAGCATCCCACTCACACACCTGCTCTCCCAAATAACATGCACTGTATTTGCTACAATCTCATCAAACTGTTCTCAATTTAAACACAGCCATAATGATTCAATCTCTTCTTTAGTGATCCAACACCTATGGTCTTGTGCAGAAACAAATCTGGGACCAGGCTATTGTTTTGCCACAGGCTCTTCCACAATGATGATTGCAATACAAAGAATATGATTCGATCTGTACAAGTAAACCTGATTTTTCTTTTTTTGATGATGAACAATAAACGTGAATTCAATAATCTTAATATTGCAGTCAATAAATCGTTCAATCTGTCATATAAAAAACAACACACCATCAAACTGATGTTGTACACCAAACTTCAACTGTAACGATTGACAATGGTGACCATGTACTAGCGCTAGCACACCTGCATCTGGTCTGAAGCGGTCTTAAGCGATCTTGTATCAGTTTGTGGTGGCCTGGCCCTGAACCAGGTCTGAGGCGAGCGGTCGATGGTGACCTAGGCCTGGGACCAGATCTGAAGCGGTCTTAAGCTGTCTTGTAACAGACAGTCTGTGGTAGCCGAAGTCTGAAGCAGTGTTCAGCCAAGCCTAGTCTCACCCTGAACTAGGTCTAGCTCGGTTTGCTTCTCACAGCTTGGCCTTGGGGGTGCTCTCCAGCAGGCTCCACATGTCCAGCAGGGCCTCCTCCAGCCTCTGGGCCATGTGGGCCGCATTGGTCTCGTTGCAGCTGTTGAACGCCGACACGGCAAAGTTGATGTGTTCTGCCATGGGGTTGTAGCACACACCATAGCCGTCGGGTGCCACGGGCCCGAAGCACATCACGCAGTCCGTCTTGGCTGGCACCTTTGGGGGGGGGGGGGGGAAAGGGGGGGGGGAGGCGGGAAAGCTTACTCCTTACAGTATGTGCATTAGCTAGACCCCCTAAGTAGAATCATTAGCTAGACCCCCTAAGTAGCCTCATAAGCTAGACCCCCTAAGTAGCCTCATTAGCTAGACCCCCTAAGTAGCCTCATTAGCTAGACCCCCTAAGTAGAATCAGTAGCTAGACCCCCTAAGTAGCCTCATTAGCTAGACCCCCTAAGTAGAATCAGTAGCTAGACCCCCTAAGTAGCCTCATTAGCTAGACCCCCTAAGTAGCCTCATTAGCTAGACCCCCTAAGTAGCCTCATTAGCTAGACCCCCTAAGTAGAATCAGTAGCTAGACCCCCTAAGTAGAATCAGTAGCTAGACCCCCTAAGTAGAATCAGTAGCTAGATCCCTAAGTAGCTAACTACTAATGACTAAGTTTGCTAGTGTAGGTATAAAAATGGGCTAACCAAGCTGACACTTGGCTGACCCTAAGTGTCGGCCACTGACAACATTAGCTCAATAGTTAATTGTTAAGCTTGGCAGACAGACGCAAGCAAGCTGTACTTCAGTACTAAGTCACGGCACAGTTGCCAGGTCGGAAAACAACAATGAGCGACAATGAAAAGGCCCATGTCCCGTTAGCTAGCTATTTACCTGGCTAGTGGAGAGGTTGTAGTGGTTGGCCACAGCATACGAGGTGTCCATGAAGATCTCAGGCATGGAGGTCAGGTCTTCGATGGCCTGCAGCTTCAGCCCCAGAAGGTGTCGGTCTATGGCCTGGCCATGGATCGCCTGGACACAGCCAAACCATAGACATACATATTGATTATGTGTTTAGGCTATATCATTGATCCAAACACACTGGGCAAAAAAACAGTTGACTGGTGCACTTCAAACCTTTTGAAATGTATTTTAGCATGCGTGACTACTAGTGCTGAGCGATTAGTGCTTTTTGAGGTCGGTTCGGTTCTTAAAAAATAATCACGTTTTTTGATTTTGGTTAGTCTTTTTTTTTTTTTTTACATTAAATGCACTATGCGGATTGAATGCTGTAACAACACAGAATAAAACAATTAATAAAATGATGGTAGTGACTGTCCATTACTGCTTATCACTTATTAACCATCATTTATTCACATTACTTTAATAAGATATTTCAGTTGTTGTGTATATTACATTGGTTTTATTTGATGACTTAATTATTTCATTAAGTCATCATCTCATCTCTATAGAGCTGCTGACTATGCGGTCTGACAAAACCACTATTTTGTAGTTCTTCAAAGTAAATAAGGAATACTTTTATGATAGCTGAATACCAACTATCAATCACTTAGATCATGTATTTTCAGGTAGAGATACCTCGCGAAGCAGCTGCTTTCTATACCTCTCGATCGCGCGTTCTCTCTTCTCTCCGTGTCTGCTCCAGACCACTGAGGTATAATAAGCTCCACATAGACCGTAGGAGCAGGCGGGTGCGCAATGGATTATGGTCATTGTAGTTAATTACAATGTTTTCTGTGCTAAACTATGTAGAATATTGGCCTCCCTACAGTGTGATGTGTGCATTGAGCTCACAGAAAAATAATGAACAAAATGGAATTCAAATAATTGAACCGACATGTCAATTAGATGTTTAAAAAAAGAAAAATAACCAACATTTAGGTTAATCGCTAAGCACTAGTGACTGCAGTACTCTGTCACTGATGAAGGTTGAGTAAACCAAAACATTTGTCTTATCATGTTTACTTATGCACCTTATTGCACTGTGCACATTTTGGGGCATCATGTCCTAGTGGATAACATAATAATATATATAATATGTTTGCATCTGAGCCTCAGCTTTGGATTTTTTATGTTTTCGACAGTGTGCGGCAGGGTTGGGGTCAATTCCATTTCAATTCTCCTCAGTGCTTTTCAATTATGAACATTTGGAATTGGAATTTGGTTTACTTTCTGAATTGTCTGGAATCTAAATGGAATTGACCCCAAGCCTGTTGTGCGGGTATCTATCCTTTCTATTAGACTGTGCAGCGCTCACTCACCATGTCAGTGTATGCCCTGTGGGCTTTCACAGCTTTCTCCAGTAGGGTCACTTTTTCCATCTTCTGTTTGTCTGGGTCGTCCATGGCCTTGACAAAGTTAGCAGAGTCGATGGAGCAGGAGCGGATGGTGTCGGTGCGACCCAGCTTGAACATACGCAGGGACGCGCTCTCATAGGTGGCACAGCACCGCTGATACATCCTGAGAGAGAGAGAGATCCCAGTTGTATTGCATTGGTACAATTTAAGGCTGGTATGAGTTAGGTTAGGGAATATTTTGCTCTCTGGTGCCCTCAACTGGTCATTGTCAAACAATGCAGACATAGTTCTTTGCAGTGTATCCTCGTCAAAAACCAGGCTTCCCTAAACGTGAAGCCTAGGGAAGTTCATGGTAGAAAGATTGCTAAATAGGGGTGGGACCCTGCTGTAAATCAGTGACACCTCGCAACACGTCAAACCAATCAAAGGCCTTGCTTTGGCAGCACTCCAAAGGTGCTCACTAGATTAGTGTCGTACGTGCAACAGTTTGTGAGGATGGCCGGGAAATCACTGATTAAAACTTCAACAAAATATGTCGATCAATGCAGATTGTGTGTATAGAACACACTTCTGGCAAAACACAATTCAGCTTTTCCTCCAGGGTTTCTTCCATTTCCTGCAATGTTGCAAACTAGCATACGGAACAACTCCGCAAAATGTGTCCTACCCAGTCTAAAAACAGTGATAACATAAAACGTAGTCCCACCAGTGAGCACCAACGGGCATGTGGGGGAGGGGTCTTTCAAACCGTTTTGACTAATACAAAATTCTCCAGACCTCGAAGGGAGGCGTGACAACAACATGATTTTGGAGGTATGGCTACGCAAAACTATCTGCAGTGTAACTGAAATGAGAACAGAAATGTCATTAACATAGTGTGTATACTCACCTGTAGTAGGCCAGCTGTAGTCCCATCTGGATGAAGGCATCGGGGCTCATCTTGTGGGTCTTGGGGACATTCTTCCCAAAGTGGGAGAAGACAATGACTTTGACATCCAGGTCATGCACCATTCTGGGGGGTAGATGTCAAAACGCAGAATATTACAGGGTAGGCCTATACAAATATATTCATTCATAATTGAATACATCCAAACTATTTTTCAGAAATATATCCATAGGCCTGTATAATATTTAACCAAGGTCTTGAAAATAAGACTAGTTGATTCAGGTGTGTTAGCGCTGGGCTGGAACAAAAGCCGGGACCACCTGTAGCCCTCCAGGACCAAGGCAGGTGACCACCATTGCTACACGTCATGTATGTAGCAGAGGAGGCTGGTGGGAGGAGCTGTAGGAGGACAGGCTCATTGTAATGGTTAGAATGGAATGAATGGAACAGAGTCAAACGTGAGTTTACCATATTTTTGATACCGTTCCATAATTCCATTCCAGCCATTACAATGAGCGCATCCTCCTATAGCTCCTACCACCAGCCTCCTCTGGTATGTAGCATGTAGCTCTCACACATAGAACATTCACATTTCTATGTACTGTATATCTACACTCTCACATGTTCATGTTCTGCTTGGCCTTCTCAATGTCCTTGATCTCTGGCGTGATGTTAAAGCGTAGTTTCTGAGGCATCGGCAGGGGGACCATGGGGGTACGCACCATCTCAGACTTCTTCCTGGTAGGTCACAAACATGACAGGAAACCCTCAGGTCATGGTACTTATTAAGGGAATTAGACCGGCAGACACGATGGCGCAGATCATAATTTCCCACAAATCTTCCATTGACGTCAATAAATGATTTTACTTGTCTGAAGTAGAGTTGACCAAAGATTGACAGAAGCAGATCTAATTTGTTGCTGCTCTACGCCAGCACAACAGGAATGAGCGAGTGTTTGAAGAGACTGTGTTGAGTAAATGAATGAGATGACCCAACAGTGGTGTACTTACGTGTACTCGACGACGTGGTCAATCAAGGACACGATAGGCGGGCCTTCGGCAGGGGCGTGCTCATACATAAGACCACATGACCCGTCCTCTCCAATGATGAACTGGAAACAAGGGAAACACGAAAAGTCAAGACCACTTGACAACACAGACTCAAGGATTTTTTTGTCATTGAAATCATTGGGAGCGTTTTTTCGGGTAGAATAAGTAAAAAAAAAAAAAAAAAAATCTACATTGTAGAATAATAGTAAAGACATCAAAACTATGAAATAACACATATGGAATCATGTAGTAACCCAAAAAAGTGTTAAAGAAATCAAAATATATTTTAGATTCTTCAAAGTAGCCACCCTTTTGCCTTGTGGTCCTCTGTAGCTCAGCTGGTAGAGCATGGCGCTTGTAACGCCAAGGTAGTGGGTTCGATCCCCGGGACCACCCATACACAAAAAATGTATGCACGCATGACTGTAAGTCGCTTTGGATAAAAGCGTCTGCTAAATGGCATATTATTATTGTTATATTATTGATGACAGCGTTGCACACTTGGCATTCTCTCAACCAGCTTCATGAGGAATGCTTTTCCAACATTCTTGAAGGAGTTCCCACATATGCTGAGCACTTGTTGGCTGTTTTTCCTTCACTCTGCCGTCCGACTAATCCCAAACTATCTCAATTGGGTTGAGGTCGGGTGATTGTGGAGGCCAGGTCATCTGATGCAGCACTCCATCACTCTCCTTGGTCAAATAGCCTGGAGGTGTGTTTTGGGTCATTGTCCTGTTGAAAAACAAATGATAGTCCCACTAAGTGCAAACCAGATGGGATGGCGTATCGCTGCAGAATGCTGTGGTAGCCATGCTGGTTAAGTGTGCCTTGAATTCTAAATAAATCACTGACTGTCACCAGCAAAGCACCCCCAGACCACCTCCGCCATGCTTCACGGTGGGAACCACACATGCGGAGAGCATCCGTTCACCTACTCTGTGTCTCACAAAGACACAGCGGTTGGAACCAAAAATCTCACATTTGTACTCATCAAACCAAGTGTCTTCTTCTTATTGGTGTCCTTTAGTAGTGGTTTCTTTACAGCAATTCGACCATGAAGGCCTGATTCACACAGTCTCCTCTGAACAGTTGATGTATAGATGTGTCTGTTACTTGAACTCTAAAGCATTTATTTGGGCAACAATCTGAGGTGCAGTTAACTCTAATGAAGCAGAGGTAACTCTGGGTCTTCCTTTCCTGTTGCGGTCCTCATGAGAGCCAGTTTCATCATAGCGCTTGATGGCTTGACCGCACTTCAAGAAACTTTCAAAGTCCTTGAAATTTTCAGGATTTACTGACCTTCATGTCTTAAAATAATGACGGACTGTCGTTTCTTTGCTTATTTGAGCTGTTCTTGCCATAATATGGACTTGGTCTTTTACCAAATAGGGCTATCTTCTGTATACCACCCCTACCTTGTCACAACACAACTGTTTGGCTCAAACGCATTAAGGAAAGAAATAGCACAAATTAACCTTTAACAAGGCACACCTGTTAATATACACACACACACACACACACACACACACACACACACACACACACACACACACACACACACACACACACACACACAATGCCTTCGGAAAGTATTCAGACCCCTTGACTTTTTCCAAATTTTGCTACGTTACAGCCTTATTCTAAAATGGATGTAAAAAATTAAAAAAATCATCAGCAATCTACACACAATACCCCATAATGACAAAGCGAAAACTGGTTTTTATAAATTTTACCAAATTTATAAAAAAAAATCAAAACAGAAACACCTTATTTACATAAATATTCTGACTCTTTGCTATGAGACTCGAAATTGAGCTCAGGTGCATCCTGTTTCCATTGATCATCCTTGAGATGTTTCTACAACTTGGAGTCCATGTGGTAAATTAAATTGATTGGACATGATTTGGAAAGGCACACAACTGTTTATGAAAGATCCCACAGTTGACAGTGCATGTCACAGCAAAAACCAAGCCATGAGGTTGAAGGAATTGTCCGTAGAGCTCCGAGACAGGATTGTTTTGAGGCACAGATCGGGGGAAGGGTCCCAAATACATTTTGCAGCATTGAAGGTCCCCAAGAACACAGTGCCCTACATCATTCTTAAATGGAAGAAGTTTGGAACCACCAAGACTCTTCCTAGAGCTGGCCGCCCGGCCAAACTGAACAATCGGGGGAGAAGGGCCTTGGTCAGGGAGGTGACCAAGAACCCGATGGTCACTCTGACAGAGCTTTAGAGTTTCTCTGTGGAGATTTAAATTTTAAAATTTTAGTCACTTAGCAGACGCTCTTATCCAGAGCGACTTACAGTTAGTGAGTGCATATATATATTTTTTTTCATACTGGCCCCCCGTGGGAATCGAACCCACAACCCTGGTGTTGCAAGCGCCATGCTCTACCAACTGAGCTACACAGGGCCCTAAGCAACAGTTTATCATTAAACAAGACATCAGGGGAGAGCGCGAACGCAGTACCACACTACCAGAAATTATGCAAATCGAGAACTCCACATTTGGGAAATTCACAGGAGTCAGAGATGGGAGAACTTTCCAGAAGGACAACCATCTCTGCAGCCCTCCACCAAATCAGGCCTTTATGGTAGAGTGGCCAGACGGAAGCCACTCCTCAGTAAAAAGGCACATGACAGCCCGCTTGGAGTTTGCCAAAAGGCACCTATAGACTCTCAGACCATGAGAAACAAGATTCTCTGGTCCGATGAAACCAAGATTTAACTTTGGCCTGAATGCCAAGTGTCACGGCTGGAGAAAACCTAGCATCATCCCTATGGTGAACCATGGTGGTGGCAGCATCATGCTGTGGGGATGTTTTTCAGCGGCAGGGACTGGGAGACTAGTCAGGATCGAGGCAGAAATGAACAGAGCAAAGTACAGAGAGATCCTTGATGAAAACCTGCTCCAGAGCGCTCAGGACCTAAGACTAGGGCGAAGGTTCACCTTCCAACAGGACAACGGCCCTACGCACACAGCCAGGACAACACAGGAGTGGCTTTGGGACAAGTCTCTGAATGTCCTTGAGTGGCCCAGCATGAGCCTGGACTTGAACCCGATCAAACATCTCTGGAGAGACCTGAAAATAGCTGTGCAGCAATCCTCCGCATCCAACCTGACAGAGCATGAGAGGATCTACAGAGAATAATGGGAGAAACTACCCAAATACAGGTGTTCCAAGCTTGTAGCTTCATATCCAAGAAGACTCTAGGCTGTAGTCGCTGCCAAAGGTGCTTCAACCAAGTACTGGGTAAAGGGTCTGAATACTTATGTAAATGTGATATTTGAGTTGTTTATTAAATTATAAAATAGCAAAAAAATTTGTTTTTGCTTTGTCATTATGGGTTATTGTGTGTAGATTGATGAGGAATTTTTTGAAGGGGAGTAAGGCTGTAACGTAACAAAATGTGGAAAAAGTCAAGGGGTCTGAATACTTTCCGAAGGCATTGCATTCGTGTGTGTGCGCATGTGTACATATATACAGACACACACGCACACACACACACGTATATTTTTATACACACACACATACATACATACACACATATAATAATAATAATAAGCCATTTAGCAGACGCTTTTATCCAAAGCGACTTACAGTCATGCGTGCATAAATAATTTTTTTGTGTATGGGTGGTCCCGGGGATCGAACACACTACCTTGGCGTTACAAGCACCGTGCTCTACCAGCTGAGCTACAGAGGACCACGTGTGTATATATACACACACACACACACACACACACACACACACACACACACACACACACACATACATACAGTGAGGGAAAAAAGTATTTGATCCCCTGCTGATTTTGTACATTTGCCCACTGACAAAGAAATGATCAGTCTATCATTTTAATGGTAGGTTTATTAGAACATTGAGAGACAGAATAACAACAAAAAAATCCTGAAAAACGCATGTCACAAATGTTATGAATTGATTTGCATTTTAATGAGGGAAATAAGTATTTGACCCCCTCTCAATCAGAAAGATTTCTGGCTCCCAGGTTTCTTTCATACAGGTAACGAGCTGAGATTAGGAGCACACTCTTAAAGGGAGTGCTCCTAATCTCAGCTTGTTACCTGTATAAAAGACACCTGTCCACAGAAGCAATCAATCAATCAAATTCCAAACTCTCCACCATGGCCAAGACCAAAGAGTTCCCCAAGGATGTCAGGGACAAGATTGTAGACCTACACAAGGCTGGAATGTGCTACAAGACCATCGCCAAGCAGCTTGGTGAGAAGGTGACAGCAGTTGGTGCGATTATTCGCAAATGGAAGAAACAAAAAATAACTGTCAATCTCCCTCGGCCTGGGGCTCCATGCAAGATCTCACCTCGTGGAGTTGCAATGATCATGAGAACGGTGAGGAATCAGCCCAGAACTACACAGGAGGATATTGTCAATGATCTCAAGGCAGCTGGGACCATAGTCACCAAGAAAAAAATTGGTAACACACTACGCCGTGAAGGACTGAAATCCTGCAGCGCCCGCGAGGTCCCCCTGCTCAAGAAAGCACATATACAGGCCCGTCTGAAGTTTGGCAATGAACATCTGAATGATTCAGAGGAGAACTGGGTGAAAGTGTTGTGGTCAGATGAGACCAGAATGGAGCTCTTTGGCATCAACTCAACTCGCCGTGTTTGGAGGAGGAGGAATGCTGCCTATGACCCCAAGAACACCATCCCCACAGTCAAACATGGAGGTGGAAACATTATGCTTTGGGGGTGTTTTTCTGCTAAGGGGACAGGACAACTTCACCGCATCAAAGGGACGATGGACGGCGCCATGTACCGTCAAATATTGGGTGAGAAGCTCCTTCCCTCAGCCAGGGCATTGAAAATGGGTCGTGGATGGGTATTCCAGCATGACAATGACCCAAAACACACGGCCAAGGCAACAAAGGAGTGGCTCAAGAAGAAGCACATTAAGGTCCTGAAGTGGCCTAGCCAGTCTCCAGACCTAAATCTGTGGAGGGAGCTGAATGTTTGTGTTGCCAAACGTCAGCCTCGAAACCTTAATGACTTGGAGAAGATCTGCAAAGAGGAGTGGGACAAAATCCCTCCTGAGATGTGTGCAAACCTGGTGGCCAACTACAAGAAACGTCTGACCTCTGATTGCCAACAAGGTTTTTGCCACCAAGTACTAAGTCATGTTTTGCAGAGAGGTCAAATACTTATTTCCCTCATTAAAATGCAAATCAATTTATAAAAAATTTGACATGCATTTTTCTGGATTTTTTTGTTGTGATTCTGTCTCTCACTGTTCAAATAAACCTACCATTAAAAGTATAGACTGATCATGTCTGTCAGTGGGCAAAAGTACAAAATCAGCAGGGGATCAAATACTTTTTTCCCCTCACTGTATATATATACACCCTGCTCAAAAAAATAAAGGGAATACTTAAACAACACAATGTAACTCCAAGTCAATCACACTTCTGTGAAATCAAACTGTCCACTTAGGAAGCAACACTGATTGACAAGACATTTCACATGCTGTTGTGCAAATGGAATAGACAACAGGTGGAAATTATAGGCAATTAGCAAGATACCCCCAATAAAGGACTGGTTTTGCAGGTGGTGACCACAGACCACTTCTCAGTTCCTATGCTTCCTGGCTGATGTTTTGGTCACTTTTGAATGCTGGCGGTGATTTCACTCTAGTGGTAGCATGAGACGGAGTCTACAACCCACACAAGTGGCTCAGGTAGTGCAGCTCATCCAGGATGGCACATCAATGCGAGCTGTGGCAAGAAGGTTTGCTGTGTCTGTCAGCGTAGTGTCCAGAGCATGGAGGCGCTACTAGGAGACAGGCCAGTACATCAGGAGACATGGAGGAGGCCGTAGGAGGGCAACAACCCAGCAGCAGGACCGCTACCTCCGCCTTTGTGCAAGGAGGAGCAGGAGGAGCACTGCCAGAGCCCTGCAAAATGACCTCCAGCAGGCCACAAATGTGCATGTGTCTGCTCAGACGGTCAGAAACAGACTCCCTGAGGGTGGTATGAGGGCCCGACGTCCACAGGTGGGGGTTGTGCTTACAGCCCAACATCGTGCAGGACGTTTGGCATTTGCCTGAGAACACCAAGATTGGCAAATTTGCCACTGGCGCCCTGTGCTCTTCACAGATGAAAGCATGTTCACACTGAACACATGTGACAGACGTGACAGAGTCTGGAGACGCCGTGGAGAACGTTCTGCTGCCTGCAACATCCTCCAGCATGACCGGTTTGGCGGTGGGTCAGTCATGGTGTGGGGTGGCATTTCTTTGGGGGGCCGCACAGCCCTCCATGTGCTCGCCAGAGGTAGCCTGACTGCCATTAGGTACCGAGATGAGATCCTCAGACCCCTTGTGAGACCATATGCTGGTGCGGTTGGCCCTGGGTTCCTCCTAATGCAAGACAATGCTAGACCTCATGTGGCTGGAGTGTGTCAGCAGTTCCTGCAAGAGGAAGGCATTGATGCTATGGACTGGCCCGCCCGTTCCCCAGACCTGAATCCAATTGAGCATATCTGGGACATCATGTCTCGCTCCAGCCACCAATGCCACGTTGCACCACAGACTGTCCAGGAGTTGGCGGATGCTTTAGTCCAGGTCTGGGAGGAGATCCCTCAGGAGACCATCCGCCACCTCATCAGGAGCATGCCCAGGCGTTGTAGGGAGGTCATACAGGCACGTGGAGGCCACACACACTACTGAGCCTCATTTTGACTTGTTTTAAAGGACATTACATCAAAGTTGGATCAGCCTGTAATGTGGTTTTCCACTTTAATTTTGAGGGTGACTCCAAATCGAGACCTCCATGGGTTGATACATTTGATTTCCATTGATCATTTTTGTGTGATTTTGTTGTCAGCACATTCAACTATGTAAAGAAAAAAGTATTTAATAAGATTATTTCATTTATTCAGATCTAGGATGTGTTATTTTAGTGTTCCCTTTATTTTTTTGAGCAGTATATATATATATATATATATATATATATATATATATATATATAAATAAACATACAGTGGGGAGAACAAGTATTTGATACACTGCCGATTTTGCAGGTTTTCCTACTTATAAAGCATGTAGAGGTCTGTAATTGTTATCATAGGTACACTTCAACTGTGATAGACAGAATCTAAAACAAAAATCCAGAAAATCACATTGTTTGATTTTTAAGTAATTAATTTGCATTTTATTGCATGACATAAGTATTTGATCACCTACCAACCAGTAAGAATTCCGGCTCTCACAGACCTGTTAGTTTTTCTTTAAGAAGCCCTCCTGTTCTCCACTCATTACCAGTATTAACTGCACCTGTTTGAACTCGTTACCTGTATAAAAGACACCTGTCCACACACTCAATCAAACAGACTCCAACCTCTCCACAATGGCCAAGACCAGAGAGCTGTGTAAGGACATCAGGGATAAAATTGTAGACCTGCACAAGGCTGGGATGGGCTACAGGACAATAGGCAAGCAGCTTGGTGAGAAGGCAACAACTGTTGGCGCAATTATTAGAAAATGGAAGAAGTTCAAGATGACCCTCGGTCTGGGGCTCCATGCAAGATCTTTCTGGATTTTTGTTTTAGATTCCGTCTCTCACAGTTGAAGTGTACCTATGATAACAATTACAGACCTCTACATGCTTTGTAAGTAGGAAAACCTGCAAAATCGTCAGTGTATCAAATACTTGTTCTCCCCACTGTATATATAAATATAATGTGTAGAATTGCAGGAATTGGCATAAAAATACAAAGACATCTCTACACCGCCAAATGGGGGGCTCTAAAATGTTCTCTAAAATGTAGCTACGCCGACGGGCCGACCGTGCCCCCTGCGACGCCCACCGCCTAAATCCCTTTTCAATCCAGAAGAAACCCTGTAGACTACTTCAAGAAGGGGAACATACATACAGTGTGTACTCCGTATGTGTGTGTTGGTGTGTATTCTGTATGTGTGTGTTTGTGTGTATTCTGTGTGAGTGAGTGTACTGTACATGTGTGTTGCTGCCGTTCCAGCGACTGCCCCCTCCGTGGAGCATCGGTGTGTGTGTGTGTGTAGCGTCACCTGCAAAGTCTTGTCAAACCAGCGGTTGCCACTGTTCCAGCGACTGCCCCCACCGTAGAGCATCTGGACAGCGGCCCGGCTGCGGTACAGCTCGTCAGAGACACAGGGCATGGGAGCATCCAGACACACTGTGAAGATGCTCTTCTGGATGGCCCGCACAGAGTCTTTGTTAGTCTTATCTAGGTGGAGAAAAGGACAGACACCAACCTACTTGTTATTCACACTTACCCTAACCCAGTTGTAACAGTTCTAACCCAGTTGTAACAGTTCTAACCCAGTTCTAATCTAATTTGACTCCAGTTCTCACCTCTGACCCAGTTCTTCCACATCAGCACAGTTGAAGTGAAAGGATTCAAAGAGAGGAAACCACTATATTGAGACACGGCCCCTTTCCCTACCTTTGCACCAACTAATCTCCTTGTTTCCTCACCCTTGATGAGGTTCTTGTAGGCCTTGCCCCAGCTGTTGCGTTGGTTAGAGGTGAGGATGCCGATGGGCTCCTTGTTGGTCTGCAGGGACGAGCTCCAGACCTTCTCCAGCTGCATGTACAGCTGGTCTACCGTCAGCGGGGTGCCGTTGCTGTTGTACACATCCAGGACAAAGAACTGATGGAGGAGGAGAGACGGGAGAGAAAGTATGTATTCACAAACAACTTGTAGACAGAAGAAAATGCTCAGCTTGGGTCGTGTTCAGTAACCACCAAACTGACTGAAACAGGGTGTGACTAATTGGCCTTGTCCAAAAAGAAATGCTCAGTTTTCTGTAGCGTGCAATAATGACCACCATCCTGATTTGGCAAGGTGTACAGTAGCTGTGACGTCTAAACAATCAACTGCATTGGAGTTACAGAGTGTGCAGATGCATCATTTTCTTTTTTGTAATTACACATACCCCATTGACAAAACATGAAATAAACGCCTTTGGACTACACTTCACTTTCACGTTCCATAGATCTTTCTTGGTTTACCTGGAAGTTGTGCACCACAGTGATGTGAGTGGGAGGCCTGGAACTACGGGCATGGTTGACCACAGTGTCTCTCTTCAGGCCGGGGACGCGACATGAGGACAGGATCTGATAGTACTGGTTCATACACAACTGCTTCCCACCCAGGAACTCCACTGGTAACGTCTCACTGTGGACCGAACAATGAGAGGTGGATGGTCAAATTTAGATTTACGGACTCATTGAAGTCCTTCAACTGTTTAGACAGGAATTTTCTTGAACATTCAGTCATAAGGCCTACGTGATGATTCCATAATTATGACTCAGGCGTTATCCACACAGTAATGACCACTGATGTCAACTTGTGGCAATACACTTAAAGATGAACTATGCAGAAATCTCTCCACCCTTTCCTGGTTGCTAAAATTTGAATAGTTCACCTAATTTCAGTTTCTGTAACAAAACAAGCAAGTATAGTGTAGAGAATCATTGTACCATCTAAACCTCTGTGAAATATATTTTCCATAACCACAAATATTGCTCATCCATATATTTATATGTTCTTATTCCATTCCTTTACTTAGATTTGTGTGTATTAGGTTTTTGTTGTGGAACTGTTAGATATTACTTGCTAGATATTGCTGCACTGTCGAAACCAGAAGCACAAGTATTTCGCTACACTCACAACATCTGCTAACCATGTGTATGTGACCAATAAATTTGATTTGAAATATTGTATTTTCAGCTATTTGAAGCTGGTGTACAAAACCCAAAGTAAAAGATGCAAAAACTAAACTTTAAAAAAGGAAGCATAGAAACAGAGCACAGAGATCTACCGTTTCTTAGACTTGTGGACAATGAGAATGACAGAACTATAACTCACATTTATGTGAATTTTGTTGGGTCGGCCAAAAAGTTACATATCGCAGCTTTAACACAGTGATTAAACTGTCATCTCTAAGTAAAGCTAGATAAAGCTGTCTGCTGCCAACCAGAAAACGCACAAACACAATTATTTGATATACAGTGGGGAGAACAAGTATTTGAAATCCAGAAAATCACATTGTATGATTTCTAAGTAATTAATTTGCATTTTATTGCATGACATCAGTATTTGATACATCAGAAAAGCAGAACTTAATATTTGGTACAGAAACCTTTGTTTGCAATTACAGAGATCATATGTTTCCTGTAGGTCTTGACCAGGTTTTCACACACTGCAGCAGGGATTTTGGCCCACTCCTCCATACAGACCTTCTCCAGATCCTTCAGGTTTCAGGGCTGTCGCTGGGAAATATGGACTTTCAGCTCCCTCCAAAGATGTTCTATTGGGTTCAGGTCTGGAGACTGGCTAGGCCACTCCAGGACCTTGAGATGCTTCTTACGGAGCCACTCCTTAGTTGCCCTGGCTGTGTGTTTCGGGTCGTTGTCATGCTGGAAGACCCAGCCACAACACATCTTCAATGCTCTTACTGAGGGAAGGAGGTTGTTGGCCAAGATCTCGCGATACATGGCCCCATCCATCCTCCCCTCAATACGGTGCAGTCGTCCTGTCCCCATTGCAGAAAAGCATCCCCAAAGAATGATGTTTCCACCTCCATGCTTCACGGTTGGGATGGTGTTCTTGGGGTTGTACTCATCCTTCTTCTTCCTCCAAACACGGCGAGTGGAGTTTAGACCAAAAAGCTCTATTTTTGTCTCATCAGACCACATGACCTTCTCCCATTCCTCCTCTGGATCATCCAGATGGTCACTGGCAAACTTCAGACGGGCCTGGACATGCGCTGGCTTGAGCAGGGGGACCTTGCGTGCGCTGCAGGATTTTAATCCATGACGGCGTAGTGTGTTACTAATGGTTTTCTTTGAGACTGTGGTCCCAGCTCTCTTCAGGTCATTGACCAGGTCCTGCCGTGTAGTTCTGGGCTGATCCCTCACCTTCCTCATGATCATTGATGCCCCACGAGGTGAGATCTTGCATGGAGCCCCAGACCGAGGGTGATTGACCGTCATCTTGAACTTCTTCCATTTTCTAATAATCGTGCCAACAGTTGTTGCCTTCTCACCAAGCTGCTTGCCTATTGTCCTGTAGCCCATCCCAGCCTTGTGCAGGTCTACAATTGTATCCCTGATGTCCTTACAAAGCTCTCTGGTCTTGGCCATTGTGGAGAGGTTGGAGTCTGTTTGATTGAATGTGTGGACAGGTGTCTTTTATACAGGTAACGAGTTCAAACAGGTGCAGTTAATACAGGTAATGAAAAACTAACAGGTCTGTGAGAGCCGGAATTCTTACTGGTTGGTAGGTGATCAAATACTTATGTCATGTAATAAAATGCAAATTAATTACTTAAAAATCATAAAATATGATTTTCTGGATTTTTGTTTTAGATTCCGTCTCTCACAGTTGAAGTGTACCTATGATAAAAATTACAGACCTCTACATGCTTTGTAAGTAGGAAAACCTGCAAAATTGGCAGTGTATCAAATACTTGTTCTCCCCACTGTATATACAGTGAGGGAAAAAAGTATTTGATCCCCTGCTGATTTTGTACGTTTGCCCACTGACAAAGAAATGATCTGTCTATAATTTTAATGGTAGGTTTATTTGAACAGTGAGAGACAGAATAACAAAAAAATCCAGAATAATGCATGTCAAAAATGTTATAAATTGATTTGCATTTTAATGAGGGAAATAAGTATTTGACCCCCTCTCAATCAGAAAGATTTCTGGCTCCCAGGTGTCTTTTATACAGGTAACGAGCTGAGATTAGGAGCACACTCTTAAAGGGAGTGCTCCTAATCTCAGCTTGTTACCTGTATAAAAGACACCTGTCCACAGAAGCAATCAATCAATCAGATTCCAAACTCTCCACCACGGCCAAGACCAAAGAGCTCTCCAAGGATGTCAGGGACAAGATTGTAGACCTACACAAGGCTGGAATGGTCTACAAGACCATCGCCAAGCAGCTTGGTGAGAAGGTGACAACAGTTGGTGTGATTATTCGCAAATGGAAGAAACACAAAATAACTGTCAATCTCCCTCAGCCTGGGGCTCCATGCAAGATCTCACCTCGTGGGTTTGCAATGATCATGAGAACGGTGAGGAATCAGCCCAGAACTACACAGGAGGATCTTGTCAATGATCTCAAGGCAGCTGGGACCATAGTCACCAAAAAAACTATTGGTTACACACTACGCTGTGAAGGACTGAAATCCTGCAGCGCCCGCAAGGTCCCCCTGCTCAAGAAAGCACATATACAGGCACGTCTGAAGTTTGCCAGTGAACATCTGAATGATTCAGAGGAGAACTGGGTGAAAGTGTTGTGGTCAGATGCGACCAAAATGGAGCTCTTTGGCATCAACTCAACTCGCCGTGTTTGGAGGAGGAGGAATGCTGCCTATGACCCCAAGAACACCATCCCCACCATCAAACATGGAGGTGGAAACATTATGCTTTGGGGGTGTTTTTCTGCTAAGGAGACAGGACAACTTCACCGCATCAAAGGGACGATGGACGGGGCCATGAACCGTCAAATCTTGGGTGAGAACCTCCTTCCCTCAGCCAGGGCATTGCAAATGGGTCGTGGATGGGTATTCCAGCATGACAATGACCCAAAACACACGGCCAAGGCAACAAAGGAGTGGCTCAAGAAGAAGCACATTAAGGTCCTGGAGTGGCCTAGCCAGTCTCCAGACCTTAATCCTATAGAAAATCTGTGGAGGGAGCTGAAGGTTCGAGTTGCCAAACGTCAGCCTCGAAACCTTAATGACTTGGAGAAGATCTGCAAAGAGGACTGGGACAAAATCCCTCCTGAGATGTGTGCAAACCTGGTGGCCAACTACAAGAAACGTTTGACCTCTGTGATTGCCAACAAGGGTTTTGCCAAGTACTAAGTCATGTTTTTTGAGGGGTCAAATACTTATTTCCCTCATTAAAATGCAAATCAATTTATAACATTTTTGACATGCGTTTTTCTGGATTTTTTGGTTGTTATTCTGTCTCTCACTGTTCAAATAAACCTACCATTAAAATTATAGGCTGATCATGTCTTTGTCAGTGGGCAAACGTACAAAATCAGCAGGGGATCAAATACTTTTTTCCCTCACTGTATATAAACAAAAATGTGTGTTTGTGCGTTGTCTGTATATAGTCCTCATGAGAGGTTAAGAAAAGTATAACCAAATATACTTAAAGACTATACAGATACGTAAAAAAAAAAAAAAAAGATCTGATTCATCTGCACTGTTTTATAGACACCTTCCTAATATTGAGTTGCACCCCTCCTTTTGCCCTCAGAACAGCCTCAATTCATCGTGGCATGGACCCTACAAGGTGTCGAAAGCGTTCCACAGGGATGCTGGCCCATGCTTACTCCAATGCTTCCCACAGTTGTGTCAAGTTGGCTGGATGTCCTTTGGTTGGTGGACCTTTATTGATACACACGGGAAACTGTTGAGCGTTGCAGCATTTCAGTTCTTGACACAGACCGGTGCGCCTGGCACCTACTACCATACCCCGTTCAGAGGCATAATATTTTGTCTTGCCCATTCACCCTCTGAACGGCACACATACACAATCCATGTCTCAATTGTCTCAAGGCTTAAAAATCCTTCCTTAACCTGTCTCCTCCCCTTCATCTAGACTGAATGTAATGGATTTAACAAGTGACATCAATAAGTGATCACAGCTTTCACCTGGTCAGTCTGTCATGGAAAGAGCAGGTGGTCTTAATGTTTTGTATACTCTGTGTATAGGCACTATCAATGCTAACTTTCAAACGCTAACTTTTTAGCATTTGTGGCACAAATTCAATGTAAGTCAATGGTATTTATTTTAGCATTTTCATGCTTCCTGTCCAAATCATCTATAAGTAACTTCATTGAGCTACACAATCAATTTTAGATACTTTAAAATGATTTGGACAAGTGTGAAAATGCTAATATAGGTGCAATTGACTTGCATTGGATTTGAGCCACAAATGCTAAAAAGTTGAAATTTGAAACACTGGCCAGCTAAACAAAACCAAAGCTTGGATTGCTGTCATACATTATACACAGTGCCTTTGGAAAGTATTCAAACCCCTTGACTTTTTCCAAATTTTGTTACGATACAGCCTTATTCTAAAATTGAAATATTTTTTATCCATAGCAATCTACACTCAATACCCCATAATGACAAAGTGAAAACAGGTTTTTAGAAATTTTACAAAATCTATTAAAAATAGAAAACAGAAATACCTTATTTACATAAGTATTCAGACCCTTTGCTATGAGACTCGAAATTGATCTCAGGTGCATCCTGTTTCCATTCATCATCCTTTAGATGTTTCTACAACTTGATTGGAGTCCACTTGTGGTAAATTCAATTGCTTGGACATGATTTGGAAAGGCACACACCTGTCTATATAAGGTCCCACAGTTGAAAGAGCATGTCACAGCAAAAACCAAGCTACCGAAACATTTCTTCAGCATTGAAGATCCCCAAGAACACAGTGCCCTACATCATTCTTAAATGGAAGAAGTTTGGAACCACCAAGACTCTTCCTAGAGCTGGCTGCCCGGCCAAACTGAACAATCGGGGGAGAAGGGCTTTGGTCAGGGAGGTGACCAAGAACCCGATGGTCACTCTGACAGAGCTCTAGAGTTCCTCTGTGGAGATGGGAGAACTTTACAGAAGGACAACCATCTCTGCAGCACTCCACCAATCAGGCCTTTATGGTAGAGTGGCCAGACGGAAGCCACTCCTCAGTAAAAGGCACATGACAGCCCGCTTGGAGTTTGCCAAAAGGCAAAGCCTAAAGACTCTCAGACCATGAGAAACAAGATTCTCTGGTCTGATGAAACCAAGATTTAACTCTTTGGCCTGAATGCCAAGTGTCACGTCTAGAGGAAACCTGGCACCATCCCTACGGTGAAGCATGGTGGTGGCAGCATCATGCTGTGGGGATGTTTTTCAGCGGCAGGGACTGGGAGACTAGTCAGGATCGAGGCAAAGATGAACGGAGCAAAGTACAGAGAGATCCTTGATGAAAACCTGCTCCAGAGCGCTCAGGACCTCAGACTGGGGCGAAGGTTCACCTTCCAAAAGGTCAACAACCCTAAGCACACAGCCAAGACAACGCAGGTGTGGCTTCGGGACAAGTCGCAATGTCCTTGAGTGGCCCAGCCAGAGCCTGGACCTGAAAATAGCTGTGCAGCAACAATCCCCATCCAACCTGACAGAGCTTGAAAGGATCTGCAGAGAAGAATGGGAGAAACTCCCCAAATACACGTGTGTCAAGCTTGTAGCGTCATACCCAAGAAGACTCAAGGCTGTAGTCGCTGCCAAAGGTGCTTCAACAAAGTACTGAGTAAAGGGTCTGAATACTTATGTAAATGTAATATTTCAGGGTTTTTTAAATTATAAATTAGCACATTTTTCTAAAAAAATATATATTTGGAATCAATTTTAGAATAAGGCTGTAATGTAACAAAATGTGGAAAAAGTCAAGGGGTCTGAATACTTTCTGAAGGCACTGTGTATGTATGTAAATAATATGCCATTTAGCAGACGCTTTTATCCAAAGCGACTTACAGTCATGCGTGCATACATTTTTACGTATGGGTGGTCCCGGGGATCGAACCCACTACCCTGGCGTTACAAGCGCCATGCTCTACCAATTGAGCTACAGAGGACCACCCATGCATGCATGTATGTATGTATGTATGTATGTATGTATGTATGTATGTATGTATGTATGTATGTATGTATGTATGTATGTATGTATGTATGTATGTATGTACAGTGAGGGAAAAAATTATTTGATCCCCTGCTGATTTTGTACGTTTGCCCACTGACAAAGAAATGATCAGTCTATAATTTTAAATGGTAGTTTGACAGTGAGAGACAGAATAACAACAAAAAAATCTAGAAAAACGCATGTAAAAAATGTTATGAATTGATTTGCATTTTAATGAGGGAAATAAGTATTTGAGCCCTCTGCAAAACATGACTTAGTACTTGGTGGCAAAAAACCTTGTTGGCAATCACAGAGGTCAGACGTTTCATGTAGTTGGCCACCAGGTTTGCACACATCTCAGGAGGGATTTTGTCCCAATCCTCTTTGCAGATCTTCTCCAAGTCATTAAGGTTTCGAGGCTGACGTTTGGCAACTCGAACCTTCAGCTCCCTCCACAGATTTTCTATGGGATTAAGGTCTGGAGACTGGCTAGGCCACTCCAGGACCTTAATGTGCTTCTTCTTGAGCCACTCCTTTGTTGCCTTGGCCGTGTGTTTTGGGTCATTGTCATGCTGGAATACCCATCCACGACCCATTTTCAATGCCCTGGCTGAGGGAAGGAGTTTCTCACCCAAGATTTGACGGTACATGGCCCTGTCCATCGTCCCTTTGATGCGGTGAAGTTGTCCTGTCCCCTTAGCAGAAAAACACCCCCAAAGCATAATGTTTCCACCTCCATGTTTGACGGTGGGGATGGTGTTCTTGGGGTCATTGGCAGCATTCCTCCTCCTCCAAACACAGCGAGTTGAGTTGATGCCAAAGAGCTCCATTTTGGTCTCATCTGACCAAAACACTTTCACCCAGTTCTCCTCTGAATCATTCAGATGTTCATTGGCAAACTTCAGACGGGCATGTATATGTGCTTTCTTGAGCAGGGGGACCTTGCGGAGGCTGCAGGATTTCAGTCCTTCATGGCGTAGTGTGTTACCAATTGTTTTCTTGGTTACTATGGTCCCAGCTGCCTTGAGATCATTGACAAGATCCTCCCGTGTAGTTCTGGGCTGATTCCTTACCGTTCTCATGATCATTGCAACTCCACAAGGTGAGATCTTGCATGGAGCCCCAGGCTGAGGGAGATTGACAGTTATTTTGCGTTTCTTCCATTTGCGAATAATCGCACCAACTGTTGTCACCTTCTCACCAAGCTGCTTGGCGATGGTCTTGTAGCCAATTCCAGCCTTGTATAGGTCTACAATATTGTCCCTGACATCCTTGGAGAGCTCTTTGGTCTTGGCCATGGTGGAGAGTTTGGAATCTGATTGATTGATTGCTTCTGTGGACAGGTGTCTTTTATACAGGTAACAAGCTGAGATTAGGAGCACACTCTTAAAGGGAGTGCTCCTAATCTCAGCTTGTTACCTGTATAAAAGACACATGGGAGCCAGAAATCTTTCTGATTGAGAGGGGGTCAAATACTTATTTCCCTCATTCAAATGCAAATCAATTTATAACATTTTTGACATTGGATTTTTTTGTTGTTATTCTGTCTCTCACTGTTCAAATAAACCTCCCATTAAAATGATAGACTGATAATTTCTTTGTCAGTGGGCAAACGTACAAAATCAGCAGGGGATCAAATACTTTTTTCCCTCACTATATATAAACAAAAATGTGTGTTTGTGCGTTGTCTGTATATATATATATATATATATATACACACACACACATACAGTACCTGTCAAAAGTTTGGACACACCTAGTCATTCAAGGGTTTTTCTTTATTTTTACATTGTAGAATAATAGTGAAGACATCAAAACTATGACATTTTACATTTTAGTCATTTAGCAGACGCTCATATCCAGAGCGACTTACAGTTAGTGAGTGCATACATTTGTTCAAATAACACATATGGAATCGTAACCAAAAAAAGTGTTAAACAAATCAAAATATATTTTATATTTGAGATTCTTCAAATAGCCACCCTTTGCCTTGATGACAGCTTTGCACACGCTTGGCTTTCTCTCAACCAGCTTCATGAGGTAGTCATCTGGAATGCATTTCAATTAACAGGTGTGCCTTGTTAAAAGTTAATTTGTGGAATTTCTTTCCTTCTTAATGCGTTTGAGCCAAACAGTTGTGTTGTGACGAGGTAGGGGTGGCATACAGAAGATAGCCCTATTTGGTAAAAGACCAAGTCCATATTATGGCAAGAACAGCTCAAATAAGCAAAGAGAAATGACAGTCCATCGTTACTTTAAGACATGTAGGTCAGTCAATGCGGAACATTTAAAGAACTTTGATAGTTTCTTCAAGTGCAGTCGCAAAAACCATCAAGAGCTATGATGAAACTGGCTCTCATGTGGACCGCCACAGGAATGGAAGACCCAGAGTTACCTCTGCTGCAGAGGATAAGTTCATTAGAGTTAACTGCACCTCAGATTGCAGCCCAAATAAATGCTTCACGGAATTCAAGTAACAGACACATCTCAACATCAACTGTTCAGAGGAGACTGCGTGAATCAGGCCTTCATGGTCGACTTGCTGCAAAGAAACCACTACTAAAGGACACCAATAAGAAGAGACTTGCTTGGGCCAAGAAACACGAGCAATGGACATTAGACCGGTGGAAATCTGTCCTTTGGTCTGATGAGTCCAAATTTGATATTTTTGGTTCCAAACGGCGTGTCTTTGTGAGACCCAGAGTAGGTGAACGGATGATCTCCACATGTGCGGTTCCCACTGTGACGCATGGAGGAGTTGGTGTGATGGTGCTTTGCTGGTGACACTGTCAGTGATTTATTTAGAATTCAAGGCACACTTAACCAGCATGGCTACCACAGCATTCAGCAGCGATACACCATCCCATCTGGTTTGCGCTTAGTGGGACTATCATTTGTTTTCAACAGGACAATGACCCAAAACACACCTCCAGGGTGTGTAAGGGCTATTTGACCAAGGAGAGTGATGGAGTGCTTCATCAGATGACCTGGCCTCCACAAATCACCCAACCTCAACCCAATTGAGATGGTTTGGGATGAGTTGGATGGCAGAGTGAAGGAAAAGCAGCCAACAAGTTCTCAGCATATGTGTGAACTCCTTCAAGACTGTTGGAAAAGCATTCCTCATGAAGCTGGTTGAGAGAATGCCAAGAGTGTGCAAAGCTGTCATCAAGGCAAAGGTTGGCTACTTTGAAGAATCTAAAATATATTTTGATTTGTTTAAAAAAAGATTGGTTACTACATGATTCCATGTGTGTTATTTCATAGGTTTGATGTCTTTGCTATTATTCTACAATGTAGAAAACAGTAAAAATAAATCTCTTGAATGAGTAGGTGTGTCCAAACTTTTGACTGGTACTGTATATATAAAAATATTAAGAGTTCCTGGTTAGCCAGTTTGGCTAAATATAATCAGGGTTAGCAGGATTAGGGGCAGGAAATCAGATCCTGGTACAATCTGAGTCAATTTGACATGGCTCTTTAATGGCCTTGGATTAGATTTTGCGCTCTGATTAAACTGTGTCAGACAGACACAAGACGAGGAGCACTGGCACTCACTTGTCAATCATTGTCTTGAAGTCCAAAACGCCAGCGATCAGCTTGGCAGCAAACCTGGGTGGAGAGATTTGAGCAAGATGATGTTATTACAAGTTCCATGTTAGGGCAATGTATTTGAGTGAATGGGTACAAAATATACATGTAAAGGGTGCTTCTAAAAATGCTATGGATAATTAATTGCTTGTCTTTTTTTAATACTGATGTTATTTTATGGAGTACGCCTGCCATATCTTCACCTAACATCTCAAGTTTACTATTAACTTAGATCACCTTGAAAGCAGGGATTGGGTTTCAAAATTGATACAGTATGATAGAGTAAATCAGTGGTAGTAACTAACATTTCTGAGGGAGCCACTTTTGTCAAACAAAATCACTGGGCGAGCCGCCATATTCATCGGAGTGGGGGTTGGGGGTTCACAAAGTCAAAGTGATTCATACATGATATCAAATGGATTCATACATTATTTTTAAGATACTATTAACATCAAGCTATTTGATTCTCTAACACTATTTTAGGTCACTTGAGGGTATAAGAAACAATGTGCAAAAATAATTGTATGGATCTTTTGAATCTGACCTTATTGCTATTATCTTAATAAAATAATAGCACAAAGGTATGTCAAACCAGGTAATGACACATTTTAGTCTGAAGTAAGAAAGGTATTGAAAAGTTCAGAAAAACATCTGGGATGATCATCAAGCAATCTTTGTGAATGATCGTTTGTGGAGAATAAATTCATTTCCCTCAGTTATTCTGGGCAGATTCATCACTCTCCATTCTAACGAGTTCTGCACAGCTTGTCTCATATGCGCAAACAGAAGATGCGTACGTGTTCCTGAGAATCCTAGCTTTCAGTAATGGGGTCATATTTGGTACTAGCTTCAACCGTTCTAAATCTAGAGCCGAATTAGTAGGAAGAAAATCATTTAAAGATGCGCCAGAAACTGCTTTTACCGCTCCGTTTGTCCCAGCCACAGATGTCAAAGGTTACTCAGGTAACCATGGTTCTATGAACTATGCAGCAAATTCAGCTGACTGAGTAAAACAACGCATTCATTCAGGTTATTGCCGCGAGCCACCAATTAAGTTGCAGAGAGACGCATGCGTCTAGTAAGACGAGCAATGACTATGCCTGGACTAAATCATAAAAATATTGATGGTGTGATATTCTGAACAGTGCACAACATAATTGCAGTGAGATATAATAACCGATAAAACCCTTTAAACTAGTAGAAATTACATAAAAAAATACAAATACATTTGATAAAAACCAACAGGGGATTATTAGCGTGATCAATGAGGTGAAAACAACATGGTCTTAGCTCAGATAACAAGCCATTTCTCTGCCACAATGACCACCTAATCCTCTATACATGTAACCCATGTCAATAGACCACCTAATCCTCTATACATGTAACCCATGTCAATAGACCACCTAATCCTCTATACATGTAACCCATGTCAATAGACCACCTAATCCTCTATACATGTAACCCATGTCAATAGACCACCTAATCCTCTATACATGTAACCCATGTCAATAGACCACCTAATCCTCTATACATGTACCCATGTCAATAGACCACCTAATCCTCTATACATGTAACCCATGTCAATAGACCACCTAATCCTCTATACATGTACCCATGTCAATAGACCACCTAATCCTCTATACATGTAACCCATGTCAATAGACCACCTAATCCTCTATACATGTAACCCATGTCAATAGACCACCTAATCCTCTATACATGTAACCCATGTCAATAGACTATTTGTAAGCCGCTCTGGATAAGAGCGTCTGCTAAATGACGTAAATGTAAATGTAAATGTAATAGACCACCTAATCCTCTATACATGTAACCCATGTCAATAGACCACCTAATCCTCTATACATGTAACCAATAGGGGCCCATGTGCTGCAGTGCTTACTTCAGTGATCCGCTACTGCACTTTGAATAGAGAGAGGGGGTGGGGGGGGGGTGCAGTCTGAAGGGTAGTGTGTACAAAGGTCGTATGAATCTCAACAGGACCGTATGCAGCACAGAGCACACTGACCCCATAGTGGAATGTCACCCAATTGGCAACACTGTACTGGAAAGGTGAATGGCAGCTTGAGTTCACATTAGCAGGTGAATGACACAGGGCCCCGGTTTTGTGTCGTGGTGACATGTCTGTTACATGAAAATACACACTGAAGTGATATGGGAGTAGAGGTGGTGTTAGAGAAAGTGTGAAGGTTGTTACACAGGAGTAATGACTTGCAATGACTGCTAACAGTAATACACGACAGCAGTGCAAGAGAGGACTGTATTTACATGACAGTAAGTTACCTAAAGCAGAGCTAGGGACAGCATACACACATAACATAGTAATTGCTTGATTGTGACTACCGATACATACAGTACATACAAGCATTCTGTAACAAAGGTGTTTCCAATGGTAAAGATGTAGTGGTGGTGGTGGGGAATTTGTACAAAGTTGAGTGTTATGTTGGTCCCTACTGGCGTCTATGTGGGGGGGACTTGGTTCGTCTCACCTCATCTGTCCCTGGCGGTCGCTGAACTCCAGGCGGGGTAAGACCACCCCGGGACTAGAGTGGACCACTACAGGCATCCGGTAGTCCAGATAGGCTGTAGTCAGCCACCAGTCTGACAGCTGGGGAGAGAGGGAGCGGTTGAAAGAGAGAGAGAGAGAAAGAATGGTCAAATAAAGGGATGCCTTATAAAAAAATAAGAGTGAACCATTCTCAACTTTGCCCTTGAGAAGTTTTTATTCCAATCTAGTCTTGTCTAAAGAATGTTCCTGTGTAATAACAATGTATCTCTGTTCAGTTTGTGGAATTAATCCATGGTACAGGTTTCTCATCATAGATAAAAGTGGCCTTCGATTTTATTCAAAGAATAGCAGTCTCTGACACTATAACCACAGGCCACTTGTACAACGACACCAAATCGCTAGCCTTGCCTTTGAGTAGGGCTGGGCGATATGGCCAAACTATCATATCACGGTATATTTTTGACGCTATGACGGTATTCTATGTTTTTGAGTAATGCGTGACCCTAGGGTGGTAAAACATACATTCTAAGTTATTTCAATGGGTCTCTCTCCATTCTGATTGTTTTATACTGTTCAATTAAACTTCAATCAAAAATAATTTTTCATAAATGTTGGCATTTCCTGCATTCATTTGAGATAATTTCCACACTGCCACGTAGGGCTGCACGATATGGAAGAAAAAAAATTGAAGCCTTATTTTTTACCAAATGTTAATTGCAATTTGACTTGCGATTTAGATCAAAACACTTGGGTGAACTGTTGGAATCATGGAAAAATAACGATTATTCTAATTCTATAGTTAGAAGAAAATAGTGGGCACTTTGAATACAGTGTTGATTGACATGACAATGAATGAAAATGCCAGGAATGAGTGGTGATAGGGTAGGAACCAAAGTGTTGATCAGTGTTTCCCAGGGGACCCTATAATCTTTGGCAACATTAAATGTTTTCTCTTAGCTACTTCATGTAGCTAACATATTCATGCTTTGCGTATTCTTATTTGATTTAGAAGATACTGTTGCGAAAACAAGATGCTGATTTAGGCCTACACCATCACTGGAATCAGGCTGTATAGCTAGCTACGTTCACTCTGACTCAGTACATTTATTAGCTAGCTAGTCAAATCAAATTTTATTTGCCACATGCGCCGAATACAACAGGTGTAGACCTTACACTGAAATGCTTACTTACAATCCCTTAACCAACAATGCAGTTTAAGAAAAGAAAAACAAATGTGTTAAGTAAAAAATTGAAAATAGCAAATAATTAAAGAGCAGCAGTATAATAAAATAACAGTAGGGAGGCTATATACAGGGGGTACCGGTACAGAGTCAATGTGCGGGGGCACCGGTTAGTCGATGTAATTGAGGTAATATGTACATGTGGGTAGAGTTAAAGTGACTATGCATAAATAATAAACAGAGTAGCAGCAGCGTAAAAGAGGGGGTTGGGGTGGGGCAATGCAAATAGTCCGGGTAGCCATGATTAGCTGTAAAGAAGCCTTTTGGACCTAGACTTGGCCCTCCGGTACCGCTTGTCGTGCGGTAGCAGAGAGAACAGTCTATGACTAGGGTGGCTGAAGTCTTTGACAATTTTTAGGGCCTTCCTCTGACACCACCTGGTATAGAGGTCCTGGATGGCAGGAAGCTTGGCTCCAGTGATGTACTGGGCCGTATGCACTACCCTCTGTAGTGCCTTGCGGTCGGAGGCCGAGCAGTTGCCATACCAGGCGGTGATGCAACCAGTCAGGATGCTCTCGATGGTGCAGCTGTATAACATTTTGAGGATCTGAGGATCCATGCCAAATCTTTTCAGTATCCTGATGGGGAATAGGCTTTGTCGTGCCCTCTTCACGACTGTCTTGGTGTGTTTGGACCACAATAGTTTGTTGGTGTTGAATGCTGAGCTGTAGTCTATGAATAGCATTCTCACGTAGGTGATCCTCTTGTCCAGGTGGGAAAGGGCAGTGTGGAGTGCAATAAAGATTGCATCATCTGTGGATCTGTTGGGGCGGTATGCAAATTGGAGTGGGTCTAGGGTTTCTGGGATAATGGTGTTAATGTGAGCCATGACCAGCCTTTCAAAGCACCTCATGGCTACAAATCAAATCAAATTTTATTGGTCACATGCGCCGAATACAACAGGTGCAGACATTACAGTGAAATGCTTACTTACAGCCCTTAACCAACAGTGCATTTATTTTAAACAAAAAAAGTAAGAATAAAACAACAACAAAAAAAGTGTTGAGAAAAAAAGAGCAGAAGTAAAAATAAAGTGACAGTAGGGAGGCTATATATACAATAGAATAAAGTGACAGTAGGGAGGCTATATATACAGGGGGGTACCGTTGCATAGTCAATGTGCGGGGGCACCGGCTAGTTGAGGTAGTTGAGGTAATATGTACATGTGGGTAGAGTTAAAGTGACTATGCATAAATACTTAACAGAGTAGCAGCAGCGTAAAAAGTATGGGGTGGGGGGGCAGTGCAAATAGTCCGGGTAGCCATGATTAGCTGTTCAGGAGTCTTATGGCTTGGGGGTAGAAGCTGTTGAGAAGTCTTTTGGACCTAGACTTGGCACTCCGGTACCGCTTGCCGTGCGGTAGCAGAGAGAACAGTCTATGACTAGGGTGACTGGAGTCTTTGACAATTTTGAGGGCCTTCCTCTGACACCGCCTGGTATAGAGGTCCTGGATGGCAGGGAGCTTTGCCCCTGTGATGTACTGGGCCGTACGCACTACCCTCTGTAGTGCCTTGCGGTCAGAGGCCAAGCAGTTGCCATACCAGGCGGTGATGCAACCAGTCAGGATGCTCTCGATGGTGCAGCTGTAGAATTTTTTGAGGATCTGAGGACCCATGCCAAATCTTTTTAGTCTCCTGAGGGGGAATAGGCTTTGTCGTGCCCTCTTCACGACTGTCTTGGTGTGTTTGGACCATGATAGTTCGTTGGTGATGTGGACACCAAGGAACTTGAAGCTCTCAACCTGTTCCACTACAGCCCCGTCGATGAGAATGGGGGCGTGCTCAGTCCTCTTTTTTTTCCTGTAGTCCACAATCATCTCCTTTGTCTTGGTCACGTTGAGGGAGAGGTTGTTGTCCTGGCACCACACGGCCAGATCTCTGACCTCCTCCCTATAGGCTGTCTCATCGTTGTCGGTGATCAGGCCTACCACTGTTGTGTCGTCGGCAAACTTAATGATGGTGTTGGAGTCGTGCCTGGCCATGCAGTCATGGGTGAACAGAGAGTACAGGAGGGGACTGAGCACGCACCCCTGAGGGGCCCCCGTGTTGAGGATCAGTGTGGCAGATGTGTTGTTACCTACCCTTACCACCTGGGGGCGGCCCGTCAGGAAGTCCAGGATCCAGTTGCAGAGGGAGGTGTTTAGTCCCAGGATCCTTAGCTTAGTGATGAGCTTTGAGGGCACTATGGTGTTGAATGCTGAGCTGTAGTCAATGAATAGCATTCTCACGTAGGTGTTCCTCTTGTCCAGGTGGGAAGACGTGAGTGCTACGGGTCGGTAGTCATTTAGGCAGGTTATCTTAGTGTTCTTGGGCACAGGGACTATGGTGGTCTGCTTGAAACATGTTGGTATTACAGACTGTTGAAAATGTCACTGAAGACACTTGCCAGTTGGTCCAGCGAATGCTCGGAGTACACGTCCTGGTAATCCGTCTGGCCCTGTGGCCTTGTGAATGTTGACCTGCTTAAAAGTCATACTCACATCGGCCACGGAGAGCGTGATCACATAGTCGTCCGGAACAGCTGATGCTATCATGCATGCTTCAGTGTTGCTTGCCTCGAAGCGAGCATAGAAGTGATTTAGCTCGTCTGGTAGGCTTGTGTCACTGGGCAGCTCGTGGCTGTGCTTCCCTTTGTAGACTGTAATAGTTTTCAAGCCCTGCCACATCCGACGAGCGTCAGAGCCGGTGTAGTACGATTCAATCTTAGTCCTGTATTGACTCTTTGCCTGTTTGATGGTTCGTCGGAGGGCATAGCGGGATTTCTTATAAGCGTCCAGGTTAGAGTCCCACTCCTTGAAAGTGGCAGCTCTACCCTTTAGCTCAGTGCGGATGTTGCCTGTAATCCATGGCTTCTGGTTGGGGTATGTACGCACGGTCACTGTGGGGACGACATCATCAATGCACTTATTGATGAAGCCAGTGACTGATGTGGTGTACTCCTCAATGCTATCAGAAGAATCCCGGAACATATTCCAGTCTGTGCTAGCAAAACAGTCCTGTAGCTTAGCATCTGCGTCATCTGACCACTTCCTTATTAACCGAGTCACTGGTGCTTCCTGCTTTACTTTTCGCTTATAAGCAGGAATCAGGAGGATAGAGTTATGGTCAGATTTGCCAAATGGAGGGCGAGGGAGAGCTTTGTACGCGTCTCTGTGTGTGGAGTAAAGGTGGTCTAGAGTTTTTTTCCCTCTGGTTGCACATTTAACATGCTGGTAGAAATGCGGTAGAACGGATTTAAGTTTCCCTGCATTAAAGTCCCCGGCCACTAGGAGCGCTGCCTCTGGATGAGCGTTTTCCTGTTTGCTTATGGCCTTATACAGCTCACTGAGTGCAATCTTAGTGCCAGCATCGGTTTGCGGTGGTAAATAGACAGCTACGAAAAATATTGGTAAATAGTGTGGTCTACAGCTTATCATGAGATACTCTACCTCAGGCGAGCAAAACCTTGAGTTAGCCATCTAACTAGCGATGAGAATTAGCGGCTTACACGACTTAGCCACAACATGCTAAGAAAAGACAAACTAGCTGTAGAAGAATGCTTGTGGATTTATAAGAAGTAAAGTGGAAACAGTATCATAGTCATCAACATTGCTGCATGTGCTGCATTGACCATTGTCTCATGGTCGAGCAACAACAAATGCGCTCCTTGAGTGACAGGGGGCGGGGCTAGGTCTTTGTGGAAAGCAGCATGGAGAGGGATGACTCAAGTAGCGGAGTAAACTATAAAAAAATTTACACACGGCATATCATATTTAACAAACATTCAAATACTGTTATAGAAGGTAAAGCAAAACCCAAACCGGTCCGTGCATCAATATCGTTATATAGTAAAATACTGTACTACCTTTGAGTACATAATGTTATGTGCATTCAGCGACACCATCATTACCGTGGTTGCCACAATGACTGACAGAGACAGACTGTCCATCACCAGACGACCCTAATCTTGTCTGTCCTATGCCTCCTCAGTCTAACTCCTCATTTCAAATGAAACTGTAGCCTAACCCCAATCCCTAGGTAATTGTCCCCCTAGCCCTCTGGATGGCTTTGCCTATGAATCTATAAATGCCATCATGGGGTAAGGGTTTGATTTCAGCCAACTCACCCAGTTCTCAGTCTTGCGGGCCCTCATCTCCAGGCCCTTCTGCAGCCTATCCCCAACCCCCCCAGACTTCTGGAACTCTGCCAACAGCTGCTTGGTGTGGCTCAACTCCTCCTCATCCACGATGGGCTCCAGGACGGCCAGGTAGCGCTCGCACGTCTGCTGGAGGGAGGGCACCGGGAGCTTGGGGAGGCCCTCCTGGTGGGTCAGGTAGCGCCCGGGGATGCGTGTGGGCGCCACAGGCCTCACCAGGCGGCCACAAGGTTTCACCTTGTACCATAGGTCCTTAGCCTGGGAAATAGAGTGAGGTAGGGGAAATACTGATCAGAGCCTGAGGCACAGTTACTGTAATGTAGTTAGTTATATGGTATTCTGTAGCCATGCAGAGAGTATGAAAATGTATGCACTCACTAACTGTAAGTCGCTCTGGATAAGAGCGTCTGCTAAATGATTAAAAATGTTTTTTTTTTAATGTAAAAATAAAAACACATTCTCTTTAGCCTGTAATACTGTATGGCTAGTAGCTAGGTATTCTGCTGTAATTACATGTTGACTACCAAAGTTGTTATCGAAGAATTTAGCTCTGCAAAGACGATATGACTACCTACTGGTCATCATGGCTAATACACTCCAACAAACCAATGAAGGACAGAATGGTCACATGACATGTCCGAGCTGTCAGACAGACATTCAACATGTAAAAAGAGCAAATTGCAAAAGGCTAGCTATAGCTAGGAATTAGGTAAACAAATGAATTAGCTAAATAAATTGTTGCTGTGCTGTCAGATAGCTAGCTAGGCAAAGATATGTGCGGTGTAGTTAGCTTTATATTCAAGATTCAGACTTTGCTCGTCAATACCTCTTCAACGGAACATGCCAGGATTATTTAAGTGTCATATTCTAAAATCAGCGTATGATGGAGAACAAGTTACACCCCTTGTTTTTGCTGTTCCCTTCCGTTTAAATAAATATATTTTACGTTAATTTCTATGACTGATTCTCGTTGTAGTCTTAAAAAGTGCAATTTAAACCTAGTGTTAAGTGAAAAACTTCAATAGCTTTGTAACCACGACATAGAAATCTCAAACCAACTGTAATACGTTCATGGACCTCTCCAATCCACTGCATTATTTTCTTATTTGGCTGTTTTCAATTAAATTAATTCTGTAATAAATAAATAAAACTTCAATAGCTTCAACCCCTATCACTTGCATGAATACAACAAAATGTTATTGGTTCAGGGATCTTGTCTTTACAATCTATGGCAATTACATTTATATTTTGGCTATTTTAAATTAAATGTCATTATACGTGACCCGTTACAGAAAGATGGGCTTACGTCACTACTTGACAGGAGGCATTTTAACTTTAAAAAATACAAAGTTTATCAAAAACTGTTTTTGCAGATATACCTTCTTGAACATGTGAACTTTGATGTGCCTTAATAACAAACTTCTATGTAAACTGTAAATAAAATGTGAAAAATCACGAAGCTGTTTAGACACAGAGAAAATACTGAATCTTTCCTAGCCATTATTATTTGAGATAATTAGGGGGCCTGGGACATTCATGAGAAAGAGAGTCCATTCTGTCACTCAAGGCTTCTCTGTCAAATGGCACATCCTGCTCTCTGCTACCGCGGATATTTGAAAGATCCATTGAATTTACTAATATTTTCATCATGGACTACATGCACAGCTTTCATTACCAGTATTGTCCTGAATACAGCTGCTGGTATCGACACAGCTCTGTCTTCTGTGGCTAAAGCAGTCTGAAGTGATTGAAGCAGAGTGGGAAGGATTTGAAAGCGTTTCAGTCTGCCGTGAATCATCATAATCCATACACCGGTAAGAGTCTATAGTTAAAATGCCAAGATAGCTACATGTACAGTACCTAATCCTGCTAACCCTGATTATATTTAGCCAAACTGGCTAACCAGGAACTCTTAATATTTTTTATATATACAGTACCAGTCAAAAGTTTGACACACCTACTCATTCAAGGGTTTTTCTTTATTTTTACTATTTTCTACATTGTAGAATAATAGTGAAGACATCACAACTATGAAATAAACACATATGGAACCTTGTAACCAAAGAAAGTGTTAAAACAAATCTAAATATATTTGAGATTCTTCAGTACATTTTTACATTTTAGTCATTTAGCAGACGCTCTTATCCAGAGCGACTTACAGTTAGTGATTGCATACATTTTTCATACTGGCCCCCAGTGGGAAACGAACCCACAACCCTGGCGTTGCAAACGCCATGCTCTACCAACTGAGCTACACGGGGCCACAGTAGCCACCCTTTGCCTTGATAACAGCTTTGCACACTCTTGGCACTCTCAACCAGCTTCATGAGGTAGTCACCTGGAATGCATTTCAATTAACAAGTGTGCCGCCTTAAAAGTGAATTTGTGGAATTTCTTTCCTTCTTAATGTGTTTGAGCCAATCAGTTGTGTTGTGACAAGGTAGGGGTGTTATACAGAAGATTATATTTGACCAAATAGTCCATATTATGGCAAGAACAGCTCAAATAAGCAAAGAGAAATGACAGTCCATCATTACTTTAAGACATGAAGGTCAGTCAATATGGAACATTTCAAGAATTTTGAAAGTGCAGTCGCAAAAACCATCAAGCGCTATGATGAAACTGGCTCTCATGAGGACCGCCACAGGAATGGAAGACCCAGAGTTACCTCTACTGCAGAGGATAAGTTCATTAGAGTTAACTGCACCTCAGATTGCAGCCCAAATAAATGCTTCACAGAGTTCAAGTCACAGACATATCTCAACATCAACTGTTCAGAGGAGACTGTGTGAATCAAGCCTCCATGGTCAAATTGCTGCAAAGAAACCACTACTAAAGGGACACCAATAATAAGAAGAGACTTGCTTGGGCCAAGAAACACGAGCAATGGACATTAGACCGGTGGAAATCTGTCCTTTGGTCTGATGAGTCCAAATTTGAGATTTTTGGTTCCAACCGCCGTGTCTTTGTGAGACGCAGAGTAGGTGAACGGATGATCTCTACATGTGTGGTTCCCACCATGAAGCATGGAGGAGGTGGTGTGATGGTACTTTGCTGGTGACACTGTCAGTGATCTGTTTTGCACTTAGTGGGACTATCACTTGTTTTTCAACAGGACAATGACCCAACACACCTCCAGGCTGTGTAAGGGCTTTTTGACAAAGAAGGAGAGTGATGGAGTGCTGCATTAGATGAACTGGCCTCCACAATCACCCGACCTCAACCCAATTGAGATGGTTTGGGATGAGTTAATTGTCTGCAGCATTGAAGGTCCCCAAGAACACAGAGGCCTCCATCATTCTTAAATGGAAATAAGTTTGGAACCACCAAGACTCTTCCTAGAGCTGGCCGCCTGGCCAAACTGAGCAATCGGGGGAGAAGGGCCTTGGTCAGGGAGGTGACCAAGAACCCGATGGTCACACTGACAGAGCTCCAGAGTTCCTCTGTGGAGATGGGAGAACCTCCCAGAAGGACAACCATCTCTGCAGCACTCCACCAATCAGGCCTTTATGGTAGAGTGGCCAGACGGAAGCCACTCCTCAGTAAAAGGCACATGACAGCCCGCTTGGAGTTTGCCAAAAGGCACCTAAAGGACTCTCAGACCATGAGAAAAATATTCTCTGGTCTGATAAAACCAAGATTGAACTCTTTGGCCTGAATGCCAAGCGTCACGTCTGGAGGAAACCAGGCACCATCCCTACAGTGAAGCATGGTGGTGGCAGCATCATGCTGTGGGAATGTTTTTCAGCGGCAGGGACTGGGAGACTAGTCAGGATCGAGGCAAAGATGAATGGAGCAAAGTACAGAGAGATCCTTGATGAAAACCTGCTCTAGAGTGCTCAGGACCTCAGACTTGAACATCTCTGGAGAGATCTGAAAATAGCTGTGCAGCGACGCTCCCCATCCAACCTGACAGAGCTTGAGAGGATCTGCAGAGAAGAATGGGAGAAACTCCAAATACAGGTGTGCCAAGCTTGTAGCGTCATCCCCAAGACAACTCGAGGCTGTAATCTCTGCCAAAGGTGCTTCAACAAAGTACTGTGTAAAGGGTCTGAATACTGTATGTAAATGTGATCTGTTTTTTATTTTTAATACATTTGCAAAAAATTCTAAAAACCTGTTTTTGCTTTGTCATTATGGGGTATTGTGTGTAGATTGATGAGCGGGGGAAAAAAAACAATTTCATCCATTTTAGAATAAGGCTGTAATTTAACAAAATGTGGAAAAAGTCAAGGGGTCTGAATACTTTCCGAATGCACTGTATATACACCGAACAAAAACATAAAATGCAACATGTAAAGTCTTGGTCCCATGTTTTATGAGCTGAACTAAAATAACCCAGAAATGTTCCATATGCACAAAATGCGTATTTCTCTAAAATGTTGTGCACAAATTTGTTTACATCCCTGTTAGTAAGCATTTCTCCTTTGCCAAGATAATCCATCCACCTGACAGGTGTGGCATATCAAGAAGCTGAATTAAACAGCTTCTTGATCAAGAGCTGAATTAAACAGCACCTTGTGCTGGGGACAATAAAAGGCCATGCTGCCTGCAGGAATGTCCACCAGAGCTGCTGCCAGAGAATTGAATGTTAATTACATTTACATCATTTAGCAGACGCTCTTATCCAGAGCGACTTACAAATTGGTGCATTCAACTTATGATAGCCAGTGGGACAACCACTACTTTTTTTTTTTAATGGGGGGGGGGGTGGGGTAGAAGGATTACTTTATACTATCCCAGGTATTCCTTAAAGAGGTAGGGTTTCAAGTGTCTCCGGAAGGTGGTCAGTGACTCCGCTGTCCTGGCGTCATGAGGGAGCTTGTTCCACCATTGGGGTGCCAGAGCAGCAAATAGCTTTGACTGGGTTGAGCGGGAACTGTGCTTCCGTAGAGGTAGGGGAGCTAGCAGGCAAGAGGTGGATGAACGCAGTGCCCTCTTTTGGGTGTAGGGTCTGATCAGAGCCTGAAGGTAAGGAGGTGCCGTTCCTCTCACAGCTCCATAGGCAAGCACCATGGTCTTGTAGTAGATGCGAGCCTCAACTGGAAGCCAGTGGAGTGTGCGGAGGAGCGGGGTGACATGAGAGAACTTGGGAAGGTTGAACACCAGACGGGCTGCAGCGTTCTGGTTAAGTTGTAGGGGTTTAATGGTACAGGCAGGGAGCCCAGCCAACAGCGAGTTGCAGTAATCCAGACGGGAGATGACAAGTGCCTGGATTAGGACCTGTGCCGCTTTCTGTGTAAGGTAGGGTCGTACTCTGCAAATGTTGTAGAGCATGAACCTGCAGGATCGGGTCACCGCTTTGATGTTAGCGGAGAACGACAGGGTGTTGTCCAGGGTCACCCCAAGGTTCTTTGCACTCTGGGAGGAGGACACAATGGAGTTGTCAACCGTGATGGCGAGATCATGGAGCGGGCAGTCCTTCCCGGGAGGAAGAGCAGCTCCGTCTTGCCGAGATTCAGCTTAAGGTGGTCTCTACCATAAGCTGCCTCCAACATCGTTTTAGAGAATTTGGCAGTACGACCAAACGGCCTCACAACCGCAGACCACGTGTAACCACGCCAGTCCAGGACCTCCACATCCGGCTTCTTCCCCTGCAGGATCGTCTGAGACCAGCCAACTGGACAGCTGATGAAACTGAGGAGTATTTCTGTCTGTAATAAA